GACTCTTTTTTTTTTTTTTTTTTTTTTTTTTTTGAAATTTGTTTGTATAGAATGCCAGTGTTTTGGAGTACAGGTAAAAATATTTGATGAATGATGATTATGTTATGTTTTGCCTAATACTCTAATATTGTTGAAATTTATTTTATGTGTTTTTATTTTTTTATTATATTGTTAATAAATTGGTTAAGTTCAAAATCTTTTATTGTCTTCAATGTCTGCACAGCATAACTCAGAGAGCTTTCATTGCTAACACTGCTAAATGTTTAATATCTTTAAACTTTGCTTTAGCATCAACCTTGACTACTGCGCATATGCGTGTGCGCAAGTGCAGAATTCATTTTTGCCTGCGCGTTTAATGTATAACGGACGGTGTAAGCTAAAATTATCTAATTATCTGTTTCAGTTAATGTTAATGATTGCATTGTTCCTTAATCTTCGAATTGGATCCCGCTTATTATTTTTTGCCAACTGTAAGAGCAATTTTATAAAAGTAAACTTGAACTTTTGATTATGTCAAATAGAATTTCCGATGCTGGAACTTCCAAAGGATCTACAAAACGAAAGTATGTTTCGATGTCCAACAAACAAAAAGTGGTATTGCTGCAAAAAATGGATAAAGACATGAAAATTGTGACAGAGAGGTTAGTGAAAACGAAAAAATTTCGATTGACAAGTTAGTCGGTATTCTCGGCACAGCAATTAAGTATGATCACATAAAACAAAGCAACTTAAACAACTTACATTGAAAAAAATGTTTAATAAAGTAAACAAATAAATATTAAGCTTTTTTTTTTTTTTTTTTTTGGTAAATTTCGATACCCTTTAGATTATAATTGTTCTTTATTTCATAAATTACGGTTTCATATTTTTAATTTTAGAATTTCGCATGCCATATTACGAGATTTAAACTGATGATCTATAATCTGGAATCGCCGAAGTCCCGACGAGTCCGGATTAACGACTTTTGACTGTATTTGCATAGAAAAATATTTTCATTCAGACAAAGTTTTTTGAAATATTTGCAATTACTTTATAAGAAGGATTTATTAATAACCGTAATAATTACTTATTATATTACTGATGATCAGGATTCAGTTCTTGACAATTAGATTCTAAATTAGAATTTTAAGGATATAATGAAAATACGCTACGCACAGAAATACATTTTAGGTTAAAAAATGAGTTGATTTTTTATGTTTTAAAACTTCTTAAATTCATTTAATAAACATCATATCCTCGTTGTTAATTGAATCCAGAATGTTGGGTGTCGTTTATATAATTATTCTTACTTGTCCACAGAATCTGCTGACTTATCCAGCCATTAAGTAGCTGCAGATCATTTCTACATAACCATTGAACTTCCATTAATTCAGTCTCTAGAGGATTTTATGTTTATATCATAATTTGACTTTTATAAAAATGATTATTCTAAATCTTATGTTTCTATAAAAATATACTGTGCTTTAAAAATATGGATGATAGTATCAGCCGTAAGCAACAGTTTGTTTAGAAATAAATTATGCAGTTAATGTCATAAAATATCTTCATAAAATTCAAACAAAACATCAAATGAAAATTCTCAGTTTTAGACAATTCGATTTAAACGAAGTTAAAGTAAAGTAGCAGACGATAAAACGCCGAAGATAAAAATTTACTCTTATTTTTTTTAAAAAAAAGAAGAGAGAAACTTAAAAAAATAGTTAAAAATTTGAATAATATCATCTATAATTTAAAAAAATAGCTTTTTATATAGTATTAATAAATATTCATTACGCATCATTGAGGGAATATATTTTATATAATTAATTTTCCGCAAAATTTTACTTGAAATTTAGGTTAAAAATAGCTGTGGCAATTCACTGTAACAAAAATCCATTAACCACATTTGGCATTACTATCGCTCAAAAAAAAAAGATGCCAAATTTCAAAACGTGAAAATATGTAAATTCGTGTATATCTTAGAAAATTTTGAATAAAAAAGTCCAATTTTTTGCAGATATGCTTAAAAATACACCTACTTTAAGATGATGGTAAAAATTTTATAGGTTATAATTCAAAATGTTTTTTGAAAAATTTACAAAAATTATTTCAAAATAGAAATTTAAAAATTAAAACACAAAAAATGGGTAAATTTTATTTGGAATGAACCTAAATTTCGAAATGTGAAAGGAAAAATAATAAAAGTTTAACAAAAAAAGAGATATTAATAAATATTTACCAAATTCAACTAACATTGAGGAGCTAAAATTTTGAGCGCTAATATTTTAAAAACTACTCGTCTGATTTTTACAAAACTTAGTATTCTGGCATAATTTGAGTCGTAGAATCAAAATATGTAAAAAAGGTATGTTATTTCAGAAAAAGTCTGATTTTGTGTCAAAATACCTATGTTAGAATAGTGCTATATATAAATATAATATATATCCTAAGTCGTGCTTTTGAGACATTAAAAACGCAGTTTGAATTTTGTCAATCGGCCCAGTAGAACGGGAGATATAGCACTGTCCTCCCCCCCCCCTTTTTTTTTTTTTTAACAGTGTACATAGCCTCACTAGTGTTGTTGTTCTCGAAATATCTGAATGCTTTTAAAGAAATTTGATTTTTACATCATCCTAAGAAGGAATCTGAAATCTGAAACATTTGATTACTTGGACATTCATGCCAGACATGCTATACTCAGCAACCAATGAACAAGACCTTTCAGAGAAGGTAAGTGTAAGGCTGGGCTTGGAAAAGATCACATGAATCATGAAGAACTAGGAATTGAGCAGGATGTTCAGGCTGGGAACAGTATAAATAAATCAATAGCAAAGACACAATTGTTAACGTTTAACTGAAGTGATGATTCAAAGCATTCTATGTACAGGCTCTGTGCAGGAGGTACACGGAATGCTTCAGAACAAATGCATAAAGCTTGATGGCAAGTAAGATCATGTTTCAGGACAAAAAGACAAATGTAAAGATCTGTACACCACAGAGGCATAGTATAATTTTGGATCTAATCAGCCCTCTATAGATCTGGAACATAGCATAACAGTCAGATCCCCATGTGTTTGATAGAATTTTTAGAAGACTCATGGTATTCAGGAACTTGGAATGTATGAAATGATGGAAAGCTTCTTATCAACCTACACTCCAAGCTATTTTACGTCTGACTGAGCTGATATTAAAATCTTCTGTAAGGAGAGTTCTAGATCTAGATGTAGGCCTTTTGTGATGTCAAAAGTGTACATAGTTAAGCTTTTCCCTTGATTGAATCCATGTTTGACCATTTTAGAATTTTATTCAGGGCTATTTTAAACTGTCTCTTGTCATGTCAGCTCCACTGTAACTTACCATTAAGTATAATATCTCATTAAGAGTAGAAAGAAGCTTTTTCAAGGCAAAAATTGTCTTCAGGCTAAAAAATATCAGATTTGGCTATAGAAATTACATTAGCTTATCCTCCATGCATGCAGGAAAATATGCTAATTCTATACTATATTCAATTAAAAAGATGAGAAGGGCACATAATAACTTATATGCTAAATGCTCTAGCATGGTATAGATCACATCACTGGGATCTGCACTTGTCTTATGTTATATGAGAAGGTTTTGCGAGCACATTAAATTAGGAGTTCTTTCAGATTGGAGGAAAAGAAATGCCAATAAGGAAACAAAATGCCAATGAACAGTTACGTCTATTTGGAATAAAAGCAAATCTCACCAATTCTATCAGCAATTTCTTCACTCCTGCTGATCAATATGTCTTCCTTTTCCAAAAGAGAAAGTTAATGGTAAACTTCAGATGTTTTTCTAACATACTCCTACACTTTTTTGATCACATATCTAGCCAATCTAGATAAGCAAATAGCTAGCCTTTATACTCTTCAAAAGATTAAGGGTCTTAAATGCTTGCTACATACATATAATATGCTTGGTGTAAAGCAACTGGCAACTTTCTCTAACCTTTATCCTCATAGCACCACAGTCATTTTGTTTTTCAAGCTCTGTTACAATTTCTTCCATATATAGTGATAAAAGGTCTGGATTTGAGATTACTCTTTATGAACAATTTAGACCTTTATGCACAAACTGTAACCTTAACTTATTCCACTGATGTTATCTTTAGCAGATTCACAGACAGCTAGTTGTCTCAATGAGAAGGTTGCCAGATTTCAGTTGTTTATCGTTCTTAGGTTCACCTGCCACAGATAAAACTCATTCATTGATCAAGAAGGGTTACATTTTCCTAAGCTCACTTTCTGAATTACTTATCAGTAAGAAACATGGAGATCAGTCAGTATACAAATCATTGGCATATGCTTAGGTGTGATGCTTTTCAGTAGTATTATAAACTTCAGAAATTTTATTACATAATGGTAGAACAGATTCAGGTCCACACTGCCTTACCCACCATGGAGCCCTATGAGGAAACTCAGATTCATGTGTAAGAGCTAGCCAGATCTATATATAACTGAAGCTCCCTAGTCAGCTTTCTTGAAAGCTTATTTACAAGCCGCTGAAACATTGAGACTTTTTAAAGTGTTTTATAATTAAGTTAAAAATGTCCAATGATTCATTAAATTTGCTTATATAATAAAATTAAATCTTTTGAACAACAGCGAAGATTGAAAACTGCCTTTCACTAATGCAATTGAAAAACATATACCAACACAAAAATAGTTCTGGAAAAAAAAAAAAGCTATATTGAAATTACATACAAATATATTCTAGGATAGAAATTATTAAAAATAGTATATTATTACTCAATTAGGAATGCTATTTAGATGTTTTTATAAAGAAATTCAAAAACCCATTATCTATTAATAAATACTTCTAGGTACAATTATTAAGCCATTACTACAATAATTTATTCCCAGTTTGCATAGACACACAAACCTCAAAAACACTTTTAAACCTCAAGTAACATGTTTCAGCCACAAGGAAGCACAAGCATTACTTATCCATATCCTTTCACACAAAATAAAAACATAAAACAATTTTTTTTAATATCCTACCTGAGATAAGACACACGAATCATATCAATAGGAGATTCTTCATTTTTCTCTCCACGTAAGGATTTTGTTCTTCCAGATTGCAGATCGGTTAAGACTAACTCATTTCGCACATGGCCAGAACTGTTTACAGTATTTGGGTGAGAGTATGATAAAAAAGATGTCAGACCTATCCACTCTATTCCTCTAAAATAAAAAATTATGTATTTCAAGTTTTTATGTTCCTTAGACTTTAAAATAAAAGATAAATAAATTTCAGCACTTTCTTAAACAAATGGATATCTTTACCTAACAGGAGAAGTATGAAGGGCATATTCCTTTTCAATAACTCCAGTTGCCATATTTATTACTTGAATGCTTCCACCAGCATTACCTGAATATAAATTTAATATTCAATTCCTCTACACATGATGCATGATGAAGACATTTCATCAATTTTTATCATGCCCTAAAAACATTAGCTTATAAAGCTTATTTGTTAAAATATTTTGCAAGAATATTATTCTCTCGCATATTTTCAAAAAACTTTAAGGATTAGAAATATAATATTATACAGGTAATTTTAAAAAAATCTGTAACAAGATTCGCCCAATAAAACAATGAATCTTCTTTAAGAAGTATTATTCAGTGATTATTATAAGATAATGAATGAAAAAAGCGATGAAAAATACAAACTTGAATATATTGCCCAAACCCTTTGGCTTGGCTGTAGGTCAAAACAATATATCTTATTGTGATTTTATTGAAAGAATATGTAACGAATATAACAAAGCCATTAACAATAGTTTAAAATTGCAAATTAAGAAAAATTTTTAAAAAGTCATATACCTTTCAAAAAATCAAGATTTAAAGACTAAACAATTGTGATAAAAAGTTGCAATCCATAATACAGTTTGTAGATATACCCAAGTTTATATACCAAGAATAAGTACCAAGAAAACATGTCCATAAAATCTATGAAAAAATTTTAGATGCATTAAAAATTAGATGGAGATAAATAAAAAAAAAAACTAAAAATATCTATAAAATAACAGATATGAAGGAATTTTATAACATAACTTCAAAATACAATAGAATTAATTTTTATTACCACTTTATAAAGGAACTTAATTTGGTACAATAAAATAAAAACATTACTTAAAAACTCACACTTTTTTTAAGAAAGGTATGAGCTATAATATGGAGAAATAGAGTCACATTGTCTCTCTATTTCCCTTTTGTGTATCACTTAGTCTGATTTGGAATCAATTGCATCTTTAAATTTCCCCTTTATAAGGAAAACTATCTAAACAGTTTAGACAGGAATCCCTACATTCCCCGCCTTTTTTTTTTTTTTTTTTCTTTTTGTAAAGAAACACCTCTCTTTCAGGATGAACCAAACTCCCTAAAAAAGCCATTATTGACAACAGCAAGGAAATTATTAAAAGGGAGAAAGCATAAGGTACAAAAAAAAAAAAAAAAAACCTCATCTTTTTAGGGGCTTTACAAGAGTCAAATCCCCAACTTCAAAAGGTTAGAATAGCAGAAAACCTAGAAATTATAAATTCATATTTTGAATTTAAAATATATAATTAATAAGTCTGACTGAAAACTTTTGAGACTGTTTTCCTTTCTAATATTAAAATTATTATTTTTCTTTCTAATATTAAAAATTACTAAAATTTTACCATGTTTAACGTTAGGCTTTGAGAAAGTTGTGTCATCATGTGTCATCAGTTGTCTGAACCTTTAGTATTTGGACAACCAACAACCTTTAGTATTTGGTTGTACAGAGAGGAAGCACTTTATACACTCCATTGTGGTGGATAAAGAAGATGTTTTTATGACAATACAACACAGGTGTGATTGACTTTTTTTGTTAAATTTAGGTAAAATGATTATAAAACACTTATTGCTGTGATAATGTAATATTAACAAATGCATATGGTGGTGAAAAACTTAGCCATATTTCAATATTTCAGCGATGAAGGAATTTCAAAATGATCAATGGATTATGCATAGCTGCCAAACTTGAAACATAAAAAAAAATGGAAGATTTTTCTACTGCGGCGCTATGTAATTTCAAAAGAACCAAACTGACTTAAATTTATTTTATAATGCATGATTCAGATAACTGAATTATTTATAGCATGATTCTGATATAAAATATAATACAATTTAATTATATAATCTAAACTTTATGTTTTATGGCCAATTTCATTTGATTTTATAATCTTCTTAAACTTTTATACTCATAAAATCCTACAAAGGGAAGAAAAGCCTTAGATATCAAAGTACTTTAAATGCAATGAAAATATAATTAATAATTAATGTACATAATAACTGTGTGGATAAATTTAATAATCTGCCATTTATTGATGTAAAACAAAAATAAATAAAAATATTAACAAGATTACACACTGACTGAATCTTCATAAAAAACTCAACAAGCATCTACGGTAGATTAAAATAATTCAAATCTGATAAAAATCAATCAGAAAAATAATGCTGGAAATCCCTATGAATGAGGATGCAAATTTAAGTTTCATTAGGAGATGACAAATTTGCAGCAGCGTTAGCTTTTTTCAAGAATAGATCATCATAATTTTTTATAGAATTTTCTTTTTCTTCAACATTCAACTAACAATTTGCCTAGAATTGCATTTAAAAGAGATTATCTAAATTATGCCCTTAATTTTCCTCACTTGACTAAATAAATAACATTCACATAGAGCATTATTGTGAAGAATAGTCAAAACTGACACTGCAGTAATAAAAGTTTTGGATACTTTTTCTTTAGTACAGCTGTTCTGGTGTTTTGAAATCAAAACTCATTACTTACTCATTGATATATCTCATTACTCATTGACATATTTCTCTTGCAAAATTTCATAAGAGAGTTCATCAACTTGGAATTCACAAAATTTTGCTTGGAGGTTATCAATAGCAGAATCCCAAGTTTCAGCTTTATATAACAACTGTAGTTTCTCAGGCAAAAGAACGAAACTGCATAAGTAACAGCAAAATAAGACACTAAATATTAAAAACTAGATTTTGTGATTTGCCAAGATTCTTTTGGCAAAACTAGGGTAGTTGGAAACTATGGTTATGGATGTCCACATTTCCAAACCACACATACATAGTGAACAGTAACTATTGAGTTGTTTGAAATTTCATTTTATTATTACTTTTTTTAACCATTAAAAGAATTGGCTGCTTTTTTAACCAGCCACTTTTATGCTAAATTGTATTGTCATTATATATGTTGACAAATGATATTTGAAAGCTTATATGTAAATAATTGTGTTCGATTCTGTTCAATCATTTTCTTTCGATGTCCTATCAAATAAGAAAAATCAAAAGCAGCATTTTCAGCATATTTACTTTTTTATTATCCAACAGGTAAGGATTCTGTTCAAGTAAGGAAAGAAATTGTGCGATGTATATGTAAAAGACGGGTTCACAGAATGCCAGTGCCAAAAGTGGTTAGCAAAACTTCGCTCCAGCAAATTTGATACTGAAAATGCACCATGCTCTCAAAGACCAGTTAAAGTTGATGAAGCACTGACTGAAGCAAACTGACAAATAATAATATAAAAATCACTAAGTATTGAACTTAACTGTTATAATCATGTGAAATGACTTGCTTTCATTTCAAAGAAAATTATATTGGCTCCACATATTCTTAAGAGGAAGAGAAATGTCGCATTTGTGACTGGCTTCGCAAATGTCAAGACAGTCACAAATAGCAAGAAAATGATCTTTCCAGTAAATCATAACTGGCCATAAAGATTATAACTTTCTTGAATGCCAAGAAAATGATCTACCTAGTAAATCATAACTGGTGATGAGAAATGGATTGTTTACAACAGTGTCAAACGCAAGCAATCATGAAGCAAAACAATTAGTCTAGTGAAAGCACTCAAAGCTGATATTCATAAAAAAGTGATGTTCTCTGTTTGATGGGATTTTAAGAGTTTTTAAACTTCTACCAGAGAATTCTACAATTGAAACAAAAGCATACTTTTTTATTAAAGCTTTTACCAGATCATTCCACTACTGATTCAAAAGTGCACTGCCATCAACTGAACATACTGTGGGATACCCTCAAGCAAAAGCCAGACCTGACCATCAGAAAAAGTATAGTGTTTCAGCATGATAATGTGAGATTTCAAACAAGTTTGATAATATTTAGAAGTTGTTACAGCTGAATAGGATGTGCTATCACACCCACCATAGTCACAATACCTGACATGTTTGGATTATTACTTGTTCTGGTCTTTAAAAAATTATTTCAGTAGTAAAATATTTACTTTATATGAAGATTTCAAAAGTCACTTGGATCAGTATTTTGTAAGTAAAGATCAGAACTTTGATAAACGTGGAACTACAATATGACCAGAAAGATGGCAAAGGGACCAAAATGATCAATATACATATAATTCAGTAAAATTTTTATATTCTTATGGATTCAACCGAATTCATGGCTTGTGTGACAGGGTCCCATTGATTTGCCTGCAAAATCATTTTGTTTGATGCAAAATATTGATGTTTAGAATGGACAAAGATGTAAGCTGCTGTAGGATAATTGCTCATGACACTCTTACTTTTCCTCTTACTTACCTTTACGGAATGCATCATTACTGGTACAGTAAATACTTCTGAGAAGCTGTGCATAGGAATTACTGATTACGCTGAAAAAATTACACATTCAAAAAGACTTTGCCTGCTGTAGTGGAATTAACAAAAGGAAATGTGCTAATCAGAGTCACCAAAATAAATAGCAGGATATGTGCTTTTATAAAAGGTAAGGATAGAGCTTCATGTTCACATGATAAGTAATGTGCAAAGTTCTGTTGATCAAAAGCAGAGACCATCTAAATTAAAAGATTTACTTGAAACTACAGAATTAAATGCTAAACAAACTGTAGCTGCAAATTATCTGACAGGTGAATTTAAAGATTTCTTCTCAACTTCATTTAGTCACATTGGTTGCACAAATGTAACACAACACCAGTCCCACACCAGAAACCATCCACTATCAAGCAACATCCTTACTGTCTTCCTTTCGCAAAACAGGAGAAAGTCGGAAAACTTCTGAAAGAGATACAGGACAATGACTTATTGAACCTTTGTCTAGTCCTTGGGCATCACCTATCGTCTTAGGAAGACAAATGGCTCTACAAGACTTTGTGTCAAGTACAGACATTTAAATGGCATTACAAAGAAGAATAGTTATCCTTTGCCTTAAATAGATGACACATTAGCAAAAATAAATTGTTTTCCACCTTGTATATAAAGAGTGGCTGCTGGCAAGTGAACATTCACCTTTAAGATCGGAAGAAGACGGCATCCACTATCAGTCAAGGATTCTGAGGTTTCAAAGTAAAAAGTAATGCTTTTGGACTATGCAGTGATATCAAAATGACTAATTGAGACAGTTTTAAAGGGATAGTCATATGACGCCTGTCTTGCATATCTCGATAACATTATTACAGCCAGACAAAATTTTGAGAAACATCTAGGAATATCAAAAAAGTGGTACAGAAGCTGATTTAAAACTCATTCCTACAAAATGTAAATTATTTTGGTAAAAGGTTAGCCATTTTGGCCATATTATCTCCACCAAAGGTGTATGCACAATCCTGAAATAATCAGTGTCTTAATGACTGCTATCGCCCTCAAAATGCTCATAAATTAAGGAACATTCTCAGGCTCTGAACTTACTATTAAAGATTTGTCAAAAGATTCTCTAAAACTGCAGAGCTGTTAGCTTAACAGAAGCAAAGCAAAATTTTTTTGTGGACTGATAAATGTGAAGAAGTACTGAAGCTGAAATTTTCCGCTTCTGTGTTAGCTTATCTTCAACCTGAATATCACTTTATTTACAACACAAATGTCAATGAAGGAATTGGAGCTTCCTCAAGAAATTGGCAGCCAAGAACATGTTATTGTGCCACTAGAACATGTATTTCAAAGCCGGAAATGAATTACTGTGCCACTAGAAATGAGCTGTTTAGCCATCATAAAGGGAATAGATAATTTTTATCACTATTTCTGTGACTGGAAATTCCTTTTACATGCTAATCATGCCTTATTAAGTTGGTTGCTCAGTTTAAAAAATCCAAGGATATGAGTCAAGAGGCTAGATGGATATAGCAGCTATAAGAATGGAAATTCAACATTACAATGGAATTTACATTAAAATAACATGCCAAAATATGATTATTGGAGAAGTCAAACCACATGAATCAGCGTAATATTTGAAAATTTTGCAGGAACCATCGAAACACGAATACAGAACCATCTTCCTCAGCTGCCTAATTGCAAACGAACAAGTTAGTTTATGAAATCATTGATTTTCTTGATCTGAGAGTGGCAATGTTCAGAAAGTAAAATCACCTGTGTGAAACGCAAGATACACTTTTCATCGGCCTTACCGACTCATCTTTTCTCAAATATTTAGAAGCCTGTATTATACAGACCAGTGCATAAGTCTATAGAAATGTGGCTAAGAGTGCTTGAACGAATTGTTTCTGTTGCTGTTTTAAGTTGTTATTTAACTATGAGATTTAGATGAATTGCGAGTTTTACTCAGTGAGTGAGTTTTTGAATTGCTGATAATTCTTGCATACATAGGAGAAATTATTTATTGTTATGTTCTCCTTAAGCTGTTTGAAGTCATTTACTGTGCTGTTTGTAATTTATTTTTATTTATAAATTGTTAATTCTCCCTATGTATATGAGTGATGTATAAGAGACATACCAACGAACCAGTAGCCTGCAACAATATATTATTGGGGGTGGCAATTAAGGAAAAAGAGAGATTTTTCCAAGATACAGAGTCTCTCTCTACTTCTGAATAATGCTTAGGTACGTGTTGCTACTACAGTATCACCAGCATTATCTAAACTGATAGGACAGCTTTACCCACCTATATCCTTACTTAATGCCATATGATTTCATTGTCAACACTTTGAAGACAATAGCATGGTTTTTCTTCTAGATTAAGAAATGAAAATGCCACAGCTACATTCCTAAAAGGAGATGTTTCAAAAAATATCTTTTGTGTTTTAGAGTTCTTCATAAAATTGTGTCATAAATGTAATTTAAGATTAAGGATCTTATTTTAAAAAAAAAGGATAAATAAAGGCCCATAGAATCATCTGGTTTTCAATCAGCCCACTAAAATTTGAGTCTCAAATAGTAAAATTCAGAAACAAGCTTTTAATATTCTTATTTAAATAAATTAAATGCATACCAACTGCCATAAAGGGTTTATATACAGCCCAATTCCGGAATGTAACTGGTGGACACATTCTTATGACATGAGGTGGAGCAGCTAAAACACTTAGATTACCAGACAGGAAAATCTTGAATCTTGCATTTTTTAGTGTTTTTAGGCCTAACATTTCATTGTGATAGAGAGCAGGAGAGATTTGATCAGAAAGTGTACTAACAGGATGCCGAGCTACAGATGGCAAAGGCAGCAATGATGCCTTCTCGGTCGTACTTTCAGATTCACTTTTTGAAAATAAATTTCGATCTAATACTGAAGATAAATAAGGAGGCAAGCAACAAGTTTCTTCTTTCTGTAAAATAAAAAATACTGTTATAATTTTCTGTTAAACTTACAAAAAATATTATAACATAACTACATAGCTGGTAACCTTGAATTATGGGGGTGGAAAGGAGGTTCTTTCTCTGCATGGCAGCACCATTTTAAAGGAACACCAAATTTACTTAAACTCATTTTATTATAAACGATTCAGTTATCAAACTATTTATAATAAAATTCTGGTGTAAAATATATTAATATTTAATTAGATAATCTGAATTTTATGTTCTTAGGCTCTTTCCCCCCCCCCCAATTTTCTAATACTTTTACATTAAAAAAAAACCTGAAAAGGGAAGAAAAGTGCTTATTTATTAAAGTACTTTTGAATATGATGAAAATAAAGGTACTTCTAATTATGGTGGCTCCTAATATTGAATTGTTAATCAACCAGGATATCTTGCCAGCTCGTGAAATGCGAAGATAAAAATAAACAATATAATTACAATAATACATGTTGTTTCCTATGAATATTCTTAATAATCATTATGACAAGGCCATATTACCAAAATTGCTTTCAACAGTTCATCAAAAACATAATTACCATCATGTAGTTTCTCTATATAAATTTCTAAAAGATATGATTTGAGGTGATGTCGAGACGTGCCCTGTTGTTTTTTATTATGGCACTTAGCTAAACCCCATATTCTTTAAATATTTTGAATATGAACACCCGCTGTTGGATCTACAAAACTATACTTATAGTTCAGAGTTGACTGAACCAGCTTCTTCAAGTTGCTCTGTTTTATATCCATTCCAACAGTCTGAATAGACCATTGATTCATCTTGTAAATGTTGAATAACTTTTGTCATGAGGGTGCAACTCTATTCAAGATCTTGAACAACAAAGTGCTTTACATCATTCCCACATATTCCTACAAAAAAATTTCTGCTGTGGGAGTACTGTGCCACAGATGTTCTTATATTAGGAGAACAAACTTTTATCGATTTCAACTGTTTTATTGTGACTGCCTATTCATCCACTGAATCTTTGCATAAGATGTACAGAACACATTTCCCACATATAATTTTTTCAGTCAATTACAACATTTTCACACATATAAAGCTGTTTCTCACACCATTTGATGGATGTAACTCCTCTGCTCATGTTGTGACTATTTTCCATATTAGTTTCTCAAGTAAAAGGCATTTTTCTTGAAAACATTATATGGCACTCATCTTTCTATTAGGTAAATTAAATATTGTTAATCGCATATTTGCAAAAAAGCAAGAAATATTTTTAAAAACTTAATGCAAATTTGAAACTCTTAGCAAAAATTAAACACAGTACTAATATAAGAACACATGGTAAGAACAAATATGTAACACATAGCAAGATATACTAACACATGGTGAGATTTTGACAAGACATCTTGATTGATTACAATTCAATCTTGGGGATGCTATAGCAAGAAAGTATCAAAATAAAATTAATGATTAACATATTTATTATTCTGTGAATAAAATTAGTAACCTACAGTCAAAAGTTGTTAATTCGGACACCCATAATCCGGACCTCAAAGCTACAAACTTTCTGCGCATGCGTCAAAGGATAATTCGTTCACGTATGCGCATAGGCGTTTACACATGCGCGTAGTACTTTTACGCATACGCATATGCGTGTGCGCTGGTGCATAATACATTTACGCATGCACGTTTAATGATAACGGATGGTATAAGCTAAGCTAAGATTATCGAATTACCTATTTCAGTTATGTTGCAGATTGCATTGTTCCTTAATCTTCGAATTGAGTCCGGCTTATTATTTTTTGTCGACTGTTAGAGCAATTTTATAAAAGTAAGCTTGAACTTTCGATTATGTCAAATAGAATTTCCGATGTTGGAGCTGCCAAAGTATCTACAAAGCGAAAATGTTTTGATGTCCATCAAACAAAGAGTGGAATTGCTGCAAAAAATGAATAAAGGCATATCCTTTCTTGCTCTAACCATTCCGAAATCTGTTTATCAATTTCATGCTGCTCTACAGGGGTAGGGGGTAACGTCGCAGCACGCAATGAACTGGAAGTTGATCTGTCAGCACTATCCTTATCTTCAGGGCAGATGTTTTTATTTTATTCAGCTTATTATTCCTTGCTAAATGTAGTATTTCATCTTGGTGTACTCCATCTTTGATATGATTTAAATCAAATTCCTCATCATAAATATCACAAATACACATCAAATAGTTTTCTGATTGCAATTTTCTAATTTCGACTATGCGTAATGTATGCTTTACGCATCGCGCTTGTTGAAAGCAATGTTTAATAAAGTAAAACAAATATTAAGCTTTTTTTTGTAAATTTTGATGTCCTTTAGATCATAATTGCTCTTTATTTCATAAATTACGGTTTCATATTTTTAATTTTATAATTTCTGCATGCCATCTTACCAGATTTAAACTGATGATCTATAATCCGGAAAAATTGATAATCCGGAATCGCCAAAGTCCCGACGAGTCCGGATTAAAGACTTTTGACTGTATTATATATCAATATAAAATAAAATTAAATATTGATATTAATTTATTGGACATTTCTTGTCTACAGTAGATTAAGACAATTCAGATCAAATAAAATTTTATGAGAAAAATTATGTGTATACCACTACGGGTAGAGAAAAAGTTACATGCATATATAATAAATGGAAAATTATTTTGGATTAATTATTTAAGTAAACATATGTATGAAAAAATTACAAAAATAATACAGAATGCCAAGCATTAAAGCAGAATATTGAAGATGACTGAATGAAAGGGACTCATGTTAATAGTTGTATTACATACGTAAAATACACAGTGTATCTGTAAAGTGCTAAAATTAAATGTATTAAAAATCTAGATTTGAAATAAACAATTTTATGCCTGCTTTCCTCTCAACATACATTTCTTCTAATGTTATATATGCTTATAGAGCATCTAAGCGCTTTTAGACAAGTTAACTGTTGGGCATGCTCTTTAATTTTCTTAGTATCATTTTATTGTATTGAATATCTGAAATGCGCTCAAAAGGATTACTTTCAATATAACATGCATGTGCAACGATATAACAGTAATACTCAAATTTGAAAAGTAAAGGAGATTAATAAGAATAATTACTATTAATAATCAATTGCATAAACCAACATACTGCTTCTTGCTTGTTCAAGATTTGAATTCATAACAGTACGTATCGACTGCATAAAATCAAACAAAAAATTTAATTTTAACTTCTTTACAAAAGCAGATTTTGTTTAAAGAAGTCAATTCAAAATGTGATGCAATCATTGCCAGTTGTTATTGTTTGGCAATTTTGCTCAGATTAGTTGAAAAATTTCAGTCCTAAAATTTCATACATAATATATTGTGCACATGAAACAAACACTGACAGTTTAATTAATTTTTCACTGGGAATGCTTTATCATGGAAAATTTGATAACATTGACAAATTAATAAATTTGAATCTCTATCTATATATATATATATGTGTGTGTGTACGTATATAATTAATACTTAGTGAAAAGGGTTAAAAAAGATAAAAATCGACCTTTAAAGCTAAAAACTAGCACCAATGCAGCTAGGATTAAATTATTAATACAGGTTATCCTCTCGGAAAACGAAGATTATAAAACTATTGTTATTATAAAACTTTGTGTGATTTAACTAAACTACTGTTATTATAAAACTTTATGTGATTTAACTAAGTAGAAAAAAAACCTTTATAAAAAAAACTTTCAAAATATAAAAAATATATATTAATTACTGTTGATTCCAAGGAAAAAGGCTGATTTTCCAAGCCCTTCTCAACAAAATCACTGACAATTATTGAGATCTGATTGTATTTCTTTCCTGTTGTCTACTGAATGAAATTCAATCCGATCCAATCTTTCATTTCCCAAGGAAATCATGTTTATGAATAATTTAATTATATATATAGATTACTTTCAATTTCCACTCTGCATTTTAAATCTATAAATATATGAATATTACATTCATGACAAAAACCTGAACTGCACATCAGTTAAGACATCAATATTATTTAATTTTAAACCCAGAAAAAATTTAGACAGTCAAGTACAGGATGAAGCAATTTTAAAATAAAAAAACCAACCTTCTGCATAGCTGCAACTTCCAAAAATAAAATCCTACCGTCACTGACCAGTAAGGCAATTTTGGTTTCACTGAGAGGGCAAACAGCCATTCCAGTTATTTTTGCATGTTTTGTGAGTCTTAAAGCATCAGACTGACACTGGAGGTCATAAGTTACTTCCAAGCTAGCATCATTTGAATTCACACCTGTATCTGAACCTAAAGGGGTAAAAAATTGATTATTTAGCACTAAATCACTATTGAAAAAGATAATCTATACTATTAAATTCTTTCAAACAACTATATATTTTTTCTGGTTTCATGAAAACTACCGAATATATCCGTGTTTAAGTCGACCCCGCATATAGGTCGAGCCCCTCACTTTCGAGGAAAACAACTTGTCACATAAGCGGCACCGGTGACATAAAAAAAAAAAAAAACATGCCGATGTTCTCAATAAAATTTCACTCATGATTTAGTGAATTTTTATTTATTTCCATTTATTTTAGCACATAACAAAAATTCAAAATACATACAAAATTTTCAAAGAATTTTTTTCAAATCCTTCAAATTCAGATTCAGAGTCAGAATTGTCAAATATGTCCTGAAATTCCTTTTCAGTCATTGGTGAATCATCATAAATTTCATTGCACAATTCATCACAGCTCATATCACTATTGTCACTTGGATAGATTACATCATTTTCTGTGACATCCAAGTTATTGGACATGCAACACTTATAATTGATTTGATTATCATTTCAGCTGGAATTATGTCTCAAGTGTCTTTCACCGAATGTGCAATTAAAGCTATGTCCAGCTTTCGAATATTGCCACCTTTGGTTTTTAGTAGGCAAATCAAATTGTATCCCTTCTGCCCAATACATCAGCATATTCATCTCGAACAGCTTATTTATACTGACATCCAGTGGTTGTAATATGGATGTCAGGAATGGAAAATGCATATATTTTTATTTAAAATTTTCAACTTATACAGAGATATACAGTCAAAAGTCGTTAATCCGGACTCGTCGGGACTTCGGCGATTCCGGATTATCGATTTTTCCGGATTATAGATCATCAGTTTAAATCTGGTAAAATGGCATGCAGAAATTATAAAATTAAAAATATGAAACCGTAATTTACGAAATAAAGAACAATTATGATTTACAAAATTTACAAAAAAAAAAAAAGCTTAATATTTATTTGTTTATTTTATTAAACATTTCTTTCAATGTACGTTGTTTAAGTTGCTTCGTTTTTTATGTTATAATACATTCTCTTTAATTCTATAAACAGACATAATTTCTTGTTCAGTTACAAAGTTCCGCTGTTTAAGTCCCGTTAATTGCTGTGCCGAGAATACCGACTAACTTGTCAAACGAAATTTTTTCGTTTTCAATAACCTCTGTTACTTTCTTCGCTATGGGAAGCGAATTATAATGACGAGGCATTTGATTTAAATCATATCAAAGACGAGATGAAATACTACATTGAGTAAGCAATTATAACCCAAATAAAATAAAAACATCTGCCCTTAAGATAAGGATAGTGCTGACAGATCAACTTCCAATTCAATGCACGCCGCCGCCGCGTTAAAGATAAACAAAGTTTACATAAACAAACGTTAAAGTTTAGATAAACAAAGGATATGCCTTTATCCATTTTTTGCAGCAATTCCACTTTTTGTTTAATGGACTCCGAAAGATACTTTCGCTTTGTATATCCTTTACATATTAGTAAATATATATCGGAAATTCTATTTGACATAATCGAAAGTTCAAGCTTACTTTTATAAAATTGCTCTAACAGTCTGCAAAAAATAATAATCCGGATCCAATTCGAAGATTAAGGAACAACGCAATCTTCAACATTAACTGAAATATATAATTAGATAATTTTAGCTTAGCTTATCCCGTCCGTTATACATTAAACGCGCATTCGTAAACGTATTTTGCGCACGCGCACACGCAAATTCGCAGCGGTAAAGGTCTTACGCGCATGTAATGCGTCAACGCGACGCATGCGCAGAAAGTTTGTAGCTTTGAGGTCCGGATTATAGATCATTCCGGATTATGGGTGTCCGAATTAACGACTTTTGACTGTATACAGTAATTATTATGAGATTTTTTCTATGTAGGTGCTAATATAACCAAACCCATTAAAAAACAATATTGATCATAGATATTTATATAATATTCATTTTTCAGATTATTATGAGATTTTTTTATGTAGGTGCTAATATAACCAAACCCATTAAAAAAAACAATATTGCTCATAGATATAAATATAATATTCATTTTTCAGATTATAAAATAAATTTGTAGCAGTCAAATAGAAAACATAAATTGAATAAAAGGACAGTATTCCAACAAGAATATTTAATTAGCATCATGCCATAATAAGATTATAAACCTGAATCCCAAAAATTTACAGCAAGAAAAAGATATAAAATTATATCAAATATAATACTAAAATCTTTTTGATGTGAAAGGCTACAAACTATGGATAAAAATATTAATGCATTATTGAGTAATTTCAAACAAATTCCTATTCTTTTTATCCTTTACCTGCACTATTATAAATTTTGTGAAAAATATCTGGACTAAAAATAAAACATCTAAATTTGTAATGCCATATACTGTAATTTTGATGGCAAACATCTACACTTAAAGTACTTACACTCAGATACAAAATATTTAGATTGGCAACAATGAGTAGAACAGAGAAGATATTTTAATTGCCAAATTACCTTTTTTTTTTTTTTTTTTCCAAGGCTGCATTATTTTCACTTCTCATATATTTAAAATTTTAAATAACGGGGTCAAAATGACAAGCACGCCAAGATGCAGGAAAGACTGGGACAATCCCATTCAAAATGGGGCATTTGGTAAGCCTATGAATGCATGAAAAAAAATTACAAACTTAAAAAAGAGAAAATAGTAATTTCACTTACATTCACATGGAGTAGCAACTGCAATTTGATTACGTCCTCTATGCCGCAGACGAAAAGACACACTACCTGACTCATGAAGAATGTAAAACACATCCCTCTGTCTACAAGAAAACAGCTGCATCATAGGTGAACCTGTATGTTCAACTGATACTATTCCTACAGTCTGAAATACACATACAGAGTAGGACAGAGATATGAAAACTTTTATGCCAGAAAATTCAAAATATTAAATATTTTTATAGGCAATATATAATTTGTATAATAATATAACATATGTCAATGTTGAACATTTAAAAATTAATAAGCAAAATGCACAGTTTTGGACTCATTTTGCTCAAAATTAGTGCAATTATAAAGCAATGCATTTATAAACACTAAATATGCCCATCTCAGAAATAAATAGAAAAATCAGATCTAAAATTCTAAGTACTGTATATATTATTCAACCTTTTTCAATTTTTAAAACTGCTGACCATTCAATAATTAACATATCAGCAACACAGATGAGAGATGATGTACCTAATCTTCAGGCACTTCCAATTATTTTTGCTTTATTTCTGCTCTAAAGTCATTTCCAATTATTTTAGCTTTATTTCTGCTCTGCATAAAAATACAGTACAGTCAAAAGTCATTAATCCGGACTCCTCGGGCGATTCCGGATTATAGATCATCAGTTTAAATCTGGTAAGATGGCATGCAGAAATTATAAAATTAAAAATATGAAACTATAATTTATGAAATAAAGAACAATTATGATCTAAAGGGTATCAAAATTTTAAAAAAAAATATATTTTTGTTTACTTTATTAAACATTTCTTTCAATGTAAGTTGTTTAAGTTGCTTCGTTTTTTATGTGATAATACATTCTCTTTAATTCTATAAACAGACATAATTTTTTGTTCAGTTACAAAGTTCCGCTGTTCAAGTCCTATAATTGCTGTGTCTACCGACTAATTCGTCAACTGAAATTTTTTCGTTTTCAATAACCTCTGTCACTTTCTTCGCTATCGGAAGCGAATTATAATGACGAGGAATTTGATTTAAATCATATCAAAGACGGAGTACATCGAGATGAAATACTACATTTAGTAAGGAATTATAAGCCAAATAAAATAAAAAACATCTGCCCTGAAGATAAGGATAGTGCTGACAGATCAACTTCCAATTCACTGTGCGCCCGCCACAGCGTTAAAGATAAACAAAGTTTACATAAACAAACGTTAAAGTTTAGATAAACAAAGGATATGCCTTTATCCATTTTTTGCAGCAATTCCACTTTTTGTTTAATGAACTTCGAAATATACTTTCGCTTTGTAGATCCTTTACATATTAATAAATATATATCAGAAATTCTATTTGACATAATCGAAAGTTCAAGCTTACTTTTATAAAATTGCTCTAACAGTCTGCAAAAAATAATAAGCTGGATTCAATTCGAAGATTAAGGAACAACACAATCTGCAACATTAACTGAAATAGATAATTAGATAATTTTATCTTAGCTTTTACCGTACGTTATACATTAAATGTGCACTCGTAAATGTATTTTGTGCACACGCACAAGCATATTCACAGCCACAAAGGTCTTATGCGCATGCGTCAACGCGTTGACGCATGCGCAGAAAGTTTGTAGCTTTGAGGTCCGGATTATAGATCATTCCGGATTGTGGGTGTCCGAATTAACGACTTTTGACTGTAATAAGAAATGTCTGCTCTGCATAAAAATATAGTCATAAAAATTAAATTTTCAAGAAATATAATAAAAAGTGATATGCAAAAATTTCAAATGTAAGATTTTCACTCTTTTATAATTCATTATACTTCATATACCAAAGATTTACAGTTATTAGAAATCATATTATTTTCCTTTTCGTATTATTTTAATGTTTATTTTACTTCATAAAAACTTTAGTTGTAAAGGAATATTAAAAGTCTTTATCTCCTTTTATAATATTCTTCACAGCTGATTCTGATTCTTGCACAGCTATTTGAATGTATGCTGATAAACTTAAATGTTAAATGCATTCATACATATATATTCATAAGTCAATATTGGTTCATTGCTTTTATTTGAGTTGGTGATGAAAACCCTTTCCCACACAGATACCTAGAAGCAAACCAAATTACAATTTTTAAACTGTCATTGTATACAATTAACATTTCATTTTCACACGTAATGAGGTCCAGAAATTAAACACATCTTCTGCTTGGAATTTCATTTTAAATCTAGTATCATCTTAGACTTCAATTAACTGTTTGTTCTCTTTCATTCAGTGATATTCAGTGTCATTCAAAGACAGTTTCCTGTTTTCAGTATAGCAACGGAAAGATCACAAACCCATCAGATTCATCATATTTATCACTTGGAAAAAAACTTTCAAACTGTAACCTTTGAGTTTCGAGATAGAAGCAAATTTCATTATATAACTCTTTCCCAAAAATAATATTGTTTTCTACTAAAAGAGATTCTAAAACTGGTAATGATGAAAAATTTCTGTTTCGTAAAACTAGCACACAAACCAAGTTTCCTCTCAAACCCCTTTATTTTCTCATGATCTTTTAGAAATTATTAAATAATTACCTCTATTCTATTGGAGACTTAATTGATTCAGTCTCAAGAATACATGTGAAAGATATGCAAATCGTCTTAGCTACATATGATCATCAAGAAATGATCAGAAATCTTAATTAATTTCATTTACAAATAAAAAGAATATTGATTTTAATTCAGAGAACCTTCAGAGTATCTTATCCTGTAAAAATCTCTCTTTTCATTTGGTCAATGAACTTCAAAATGTTCAAGTCAATGAACTTCAAAATGAAGAAGTTCATTTAATTATCAGAAAGTAATGAAAATATTCTGCTATTGAAAGGTTTGGCCATAATAAAAATATTCAGCTTAATGCTGTCTCTTAATATGGTTTTGAATTAAGAGAACAGACTTTTGGTTTTGAAGGCTTACCTGTGAATAAAACAATGGGTTCAGGCAACATTAAGGTGTCAAAGCTCTAGCTGCAACATTCAACATGCCTATTGATGAAACATCTGTTGCTTGCCTATCTGAAGTGAATTAGACATTCTCTTAGGCCATTCATAAATCCAGACTCTTTGTTATTAGCCATGTCATTGATTCCACTTTATTTGAAGTTTGTTTCATATTGTTTATATCGTTTGAGAGTGGTATTAAATCAATGTCCTTAAATAATCCTTTGCTATAAATTATTTTAACTTTTGTAACTAGAAGTGTTAAAGTCTCACCTATAGAATGGGATGTCCTTCTCGAGATGTGAAGATATGAAATGCATAAAGCTTCTAAAAGCTTTTTAGTTGACAAATCTATATTAGAAACAACTTTGATTTCTTTATTCAGTTTAACACAACATTGAAAAATTTGACAGGTTACACTTGCATGTTTCATCTTTAACCCTCTTGCTATGTTTCCCAAGACTTTCACCGGCAATGCAGAGCTAGCAAAATTTGTGCAACCCGCGATTTTCGCAGGGATGCATTTTTTCCGTCTATTTAACTGTGCAACATGCTCTTTTCCCATTCATGGTTTCATTTTGGCTTTTCTTTGATGTTTAATTGTTTATTCAGATCCAGGTTAACAGATGGCATTAGTGGTCCATATTTCTGCAAAATATACTGGCATGTTTTGCACCATTTTGCCTACTCTTTTCAAAGCTCAAAGATGTCTGGCAGGAAACGTTTCACAAGTAATATAATGTACATTCCTGACAATATTTCTGACACTGATAGCAGTTCTGACTCTGATTTCAAGTATACTAAAGATAGTTATAGCGAAACTGATGAGAATTTCTACGACTGCTTTGCGGATAGTGATGAATCTGAAAATTCATTTTCCATTCAAAATGTTCAACAGTGGTGCAAAGTTGATATGCAAAACGTTCCATCAGCTCCTGCTTCATTTCCTTTCCTTGGTAATCACTGTGGAATACTTATATCCTTTATAAAAAGGATAAGCCATTGCAAAATATAACACTTTTAAAGCTCTACTTGCAAAGTATTGAGCTAAGCATTCAGAAATATTCTGATGGAAATTCCAGTGTTTATCCTGGAAGATGTAGTTCAATTCTCAATCCCATGAGACTAACTACTCAACATTTTTTGAGCCATGTATCCCCCAAACCCATCAAGAAAGAGGCTCGGAGATAGTGACTTTTTATTGCTAAAAAAAAGCTGAAACTGACAAAAAAATTCTCAATGAAATGTGATTTTGATGCAAAGATTGCGAGGCAGGACTTTGCCTCAAGCCTTGTATCAAAATTTATCATACTAAACTTAATTTCTAATACGTGTTTTGTGAATATTTTGCAAATTTTCAATAATATATACATTTTACCTTTGTATTTCATTAAATAAATCATAATTTAACCAAGATTAATTAAAAAATTTTTGCTTTTACATGATTATTCTTTAATCTCAATGTTCTGACAAAAATTTTTCTGTGATTTAATTCTATGCTGGAAAAAAAAAAAAAACTCTTTTACAAAACATTTTTGTATTGTGTATCAACTTTGCACCACTGTCGAATGTTTTGAATGGAAAATGAATCTTCAGATTCATCACTATCTGCAAAGGAATCCTAGAAATTCTCAATTTTTGTATATTTCAATTCTAAAATATATGTAGATTTGAAATATATAATTAAAATTTTTGAACTTATTTTGATAAAAAATTAAGCAGTGAGAGGGTTAAGTGTGGTTTCATTTTCGTAGGTTTGGTACAATCATTTGTAAGCATTGCATAATACACATGCACTGAGATTTCAGCTCACTCTCATTACCATACCAAATTAATCCAAATTCCAAATAACTCTTGTTTTATTTACAAAACTATTTTTTCTTTGAATAATTATGAGTACCAGTACATGTTTCTTAAATGGCACTAGCATATTAATATCATAATCACACACAGATTCTGCACTATTAGCGTGTCAAAGCAAAGGGTATTATTGCATTCTTTTCTTTTTAAAGATCCAAAGATAATTTTCCAGTATGTACAAAGCCCACAAGTAGCCAAGCAAAAAGTTGCTGAACACTGGTACTTCAGTCTGAGGTACGAATCCTGCAAATGGGCTGGTTGCATGGGCGTTTTTGTGGTTTTCTCCATGTGTAATTTGTATAAGTCCTCTATGAAGACATCCCTCCCCTTAGGCAGACGACAGCCCTCAAGGCTTTGCCGAAATCCCATAAACCAAACCAAACTCATAAGTACAATGGGCACTATATAACAGAGACAACTACTAACATCTGTCACATAAGGATTTCAAATAACTATTGGACTAACAGGCAAATGACGAATCAACTGCATATATTTTCCTAAAAGTTACCTGTGACTAGCTATAAAAAGCAGAAATTGGAAATCAATCTAATTTGAATTTCTGGACCTAATTCACACAGATTTTTGCATATTTTATTAAATTTTCCCAACCTCAATCAGAAAAACAAAAATCAAAACATTCATGCAAAAATTCGGCATGAATACAAGCTGAGGTGCAATTTATTGGTATAAGTGACATTTCAGTGCATTTCCAAAACTATCATTAAAGACATAAAAAGAAATGTTCTGCACTTTGGCACATTGTGATGCACTGAGATAGTCTCCGAAAGGATTACACGGGTACCACCAGATGTGCAGTGAAAGAATGGCAAGAAGCTCAAGAGTTATTGCTTTAAATCCCTCTTTTGTTGCTAAGTCTAGAGTGAAAAGCCAGTAGGAAGAGTAACCGGTAATAAATTTCATAAAATATTAGTTTTGGGAGAAAAATGATAGACGATTACAATATGTAATTTCAAAAAGTAATTTTCAGCTGTAGTATGGTATACACAGTTAATTTTAATTTTATTTTTTGACTCTTTCTGGAAATTTAGGAGGACCATAAGGGAAGGCTTTAAAGATGGCTTGTGGTGCAAACCACAGAATGAAAAATGCTGTATTAACATGTTAAGCTCAGTATCCAAATACACACATCACATAATAGCTTAACAGGTGACTTGTATTTGTTTAGATACAGTGATATGAATTCAAATTTGTCCAGATGTATTCTAAGGAAACAAATTATATATATAATTGAATGAAAGTAATGGTTTTCGGTGGCCCAGGTAGGAAAACATAGTTTTTTGACAAAATAGATATGTAGACAGAATAGAATTTTTTGTCCACATGGACTTCATGTATCCAAATGAATGCAAACTAATTATAATCTTAAAAAGAGATATAAATATTATGTTTTACAAATACATTATATGACATTAGGGTCATACTTATGTTATATTAATTCAAAAAATACTAGCAACAAAAATAACTTTTTTTTATATACACAGTGGTGCTCAATATGTTAAAAAGCTGCAGAATGACTGTAATTTTAGTACCTTCAGACTACTTTCTTCATTGGTTACATATAACTGCTTTAAAAGGTAGCTTACAAAAAAAAAAAAAAAAAAAAAGTGATAATGTGGCAAAGAAATCCCATTTACTTTTATTAAATGCATTGATATAATTACAAATTAACATTGCATAAAAAAGAAATTTGATAATATATACCTGGTTGATTTCTAAATCTAAAATGAGTATTTCTTTTGGATACAATAACAGGAGGTGATGACGGTAGGATTTATGATAAGTCAGATTTAAACATTCCTGAAGAGTCACTCCTTCTTCACTGAAATTAAACATATAATATATATGTACACGTAATGATAAAAGTAAAACTTAAATTTGCAGTAACCTTGAAAGTTTCCTTTTTTAACTTATTTCCCCTATTATCTTAAAAATAGTAACATGCTTATATCTTACTAAATTGCATCATCTAAAAATTAGACAAAAAAATAACCTTATTTTGAATAAAAGGTTATTGATTTTGAGGGCAATTAGACTGAAGTGCCTCTTCTCCAGAAGCAAAAATTTTCTTTGCAAAATGAGAGTAGCAGCGACTGTATATGTATCAAAAGGAATAGACAAAGAAGCAAACACAAACATAGCATCATCTGCAGAAGTAAATAGTAATGAAATGTGAAAAACTAAGATATTAGAATTCTAAAAGCATTAAGACTGGTTTGGAGTTAATTGATCATTAACTAAAAAAGATAAATGAAAATCTTCGAGAAAATCCAATTCACCAACTCAAAAAGCTTTATGGATAATATCTGCAGAATCAAAATTGTGATTAAGAGCCCAGCTATGATTAGCTTTGAAGATATGCTCATTTCTCCTTCGAACAAAAGATTTGCATTACTTGATATGAAATTTTTATTTATTTATTTATTTATTAGTTTGGCCAATACATGATAAACCCCACTGATATAATATGCTTTAAATTTCCCAAGAATTAAAACTAGAAATGAAATCTTTAAGAACTAAACAGTGAATTTTACTGATAGGTGAGAAAAATTACCTGAAAGTTGAACTTCTGAAGAATCTGAGCCATTTTGTAACTGACATAAACACCAAGAGTGGATCATCCATTCCCTGGCTGCTTCTTTGAGCTGCCAGGGAATATTAATAGCTCTCCCCACTCAGAGACTGTACGGAGGGGCACCACACCCAGCGATCAGCCCGCGGGGATTTCTCATGTTCATAGCCACCATATATCACCAGGGACTGACCAGGAAGCCAACCCCCCCCTAGGTACAGCCCTTAATATCTACATGAGAGTGTTCCCACATCCAAGGTCACAGACACGACAGTACCAGTATGGTCCCTGCCAAGCCTGCATCTACTACCATATAAATGACGGTTCTAGTCCCTGTGAAGACTGATTATCTACCCAAGGAACCGAAAGCTGTCAGGGCACAAGTCTATCCAGTGGTCTGGAAGAACTTCGGGTCTCCTCCCTAAAATGGTCAGTTCCAGAAATTCCTACCATTCGATCCCAAGGGATGGGTTGTCCAGCATCATTAGCCTATGCCAGCCAAGGCCAAAACCCGAGCCAACATAGTTACCAGTGGGCACGTCGAGGAGGCTGATGCTGAACTGACAAAGATGAAAGCAGGTTTCCCCATCTCCTTTCCCTCAACCTTTTGCAACTGACAAAAGGATGAAATGGAATAACAATAAGATTATTATTATTTTTTTTTAATTTCACCTGCCTAGGTTCTTCTGAGCACATGGTGCCTTGCAGTCCAATAAATAAAGGAAATTGCCCTTGTAGTTTGGAGAATCATAAAGAAGTCTGATGAAAGAACATCTCACAAAGCAGTACAAGAAAAAAGATGCTGCCCAGTCATTGAAGTAGAGGCAAGATAGCTCACAGTCTGTGGAGTCAGCAAGTCGAGATCTAAAAAGATAAGCCTGTAAGTAATCATGTTGCATCATGAATCTGCAGCAAGCCACACCAACCTCTTGGCAGAGAAACACAGATCTGTTTGTCCGATATGAAGCAGTTGCAATATCCTTGTAATAACATAGTCTGGCCTTATGAATGCACTCTCTAATAGTCCATTTGATGTTTCTAAAAGGAATATGTAATTCAGGTTGGTTACAACTATAATACTCCTTAGCGAGCACATGTGCCTGCTCATTACCAGGAATATTACTATGACTGGGAATCTATTGCAAGACAACATCTCTTCCTGACTCAATTAGAGAGCTAATCAGTAATTTGCACTCAGTGGATGCAAAGTCAATATTTAACATATAACCTGTAATAATTTGAATAGCAGTCTAAGACCCCACAACTGGAATAATATTTTATCAGCTGTATTTTTAATGACACAGAGGGCCATCAAAATGGCATGCAATTCAGCATCAAAGTTGCCACAAAAGTGCCCAACTGCCTCACTCAATTGAAATAATTCTTAAAAGAAACCAACACCAGCCCCTCCAGCCAACAGTATAGATATGATTCCAGTGAGCTGTAGGATACCTCTCATAGATAGTGGCCAGCACTACAGTTTTAAAAGTTCAACATGGAGAGAACTCTCTTCAGCACTAGTAATCAAGTCAAAAGCTTCTGTTTTTTTGCATGATGCAAAAAGCCTGGAAAGGCATTAGGTTTAAAAATATTCTAATGATTTAAGGGAAGCCCCATATTTCTTGATAGTTGAACAGTCATCAAAAGAAAATAGTTTTATGTCTTTAGTATAGATTGAACTGGAACATAGTTAGGCCAAGAGGTATCTTTATGAAGGAATCTTTCACCCATAGTCGAAGCAGCTATCAGGTGGCAATCAGCCAAATTAGGTAGGCCAGTTTGCAATTCAGATGCTGTTATATGGCTGGAATCAAATGCTGTTATAAGTAATTCTGCACCATAAACGAGAACTGGACAAATGTAAGAGGTGTAAGTTGTGGTAAGTACATCCTGGGAAGATTCCCATTTCATACCAGAAATTCTTTTTAAGAGACTCGGGCACTCAGTTACTCTTTCCAGTCGTTCTAGATACCTATGTATTCCAGTTTAGTTTTGGGACCAAAACAATCCCCACTGCAACAGTTCTAGACAAAGCTTGATTTTTATAAGTAAGATTTACATAGTACTTTTAATGCTTAAACAGTTCAAATGTGGTCTTATTAACATTAACGTGGTTTTATTAACATCATTTTCGTCTGTCCATTTGGTAAATACTTTTAAAGCTGAGTCCAGAATTATCTCCAATTGGGCAATGTCCTTGTCTGTAATCCATAAAACAAGTTCACCTGTGTATAACAGAGATTGTACATTCTGTAAAGATTTATTAATATTGTCAATAAGGTCATTAATCAAAATGTTAAAAAGTATATGGCTTAAAATAGAGGCCTGGGGACGGCCTTGTCTTGTTTGTTTAAAACCAGAAAGAGCACTCCCAAAGCACATTAATGAACTGCCGACTCAAAAAGTCACTAATCCATTGATATAGATGATTAGAAATATTTATATTCAATAACTTTCTCAGGAGTCTTCTCCAGACTTGGTCAAAAGCAGATTTAAAATCAATAAAAACCACAAGGAAGCTTTGTTTCCGATGAAAACCATTCTTGATACACTGAAAAATAGGCAACTTGTTCAGTAGTATTGTACCCCTTTCTAAAGCCAGCCTCTCTCTACTAAATATTATGGAAGCTGTCCAGAAAAAACTGCACACCCACAACCATTCTCTTTGTAATCTACCCACAACCATTTTCTTTGCCAATTTGCAAAGGGTACAGGTGACAGAAATTGGTTGATAGTTCTGTAAATCAGAAGGGCTCTTACCAGGCTTCACAACTGGGATAATATTTGCCTTCCTCCAGAGGCCTAGGAAAAGTGCCTGCCCAAATCTTATTTATAAAGATTAAAGGAGTTTTTTGAGGCCAAGTTCAAGTTTATTCAGGCAAGACCCTGTCAGGTCATGCACACTTTTTTCTTTTGAGACACTTCATGGGCCTGTAAAATTCACCACTAGTAAAAGGAGAGTTAATAAGTTTGTCCCATTAAGTGCAATCACCAACAGAAGACAAAGACTTTCTAGTAAAACAGAATCTAGTATAAAAACTACTATTTTTCCAATAAAATTTATTAAAAGCTTTCATAATATCTTACTTGGATGTTAGCAATTTTCCAGGTATCTTAATAGGATGTCTGCAAGATTGATGTTGCTTGCCATTCAGAGTAGACAGAAATTTATATTCTTTATAACCATCTTTACAATAGTCCAAATCACCCACAAAAGTCTGAAAGGAGGTATGTTTAACCTACAAGATCTCCCTTCTTAGAGTGGCATGTTTCTAAGAATTACAATATTGCAGTCTGCCAGTAAATTCAGCAATATGTCTGGCACTATCTCTTTCCTCTTTCAAAGTTTGAAGGTTGTCATTCCAAAAAGATTTAGAGTTTTTAACATGTTCTCTTAGAATACAAGCCAAATACATTCCATAATTCCAAAATTAATTTGATTAAGAGCCTTATCATTACTTTCATCTAAAACAAGATCGCCAGCAAATCAATGAGAGAAGCATACTTTGGTCAGTCGGCCTTTTCCAAATTCCATCATGTTACAAGAATACTATGGTTATTGCTCATAGCATAATGCCTGTTTTGATGTCAAAATAGGAAAATTTTTTGAAGGCATTCATTAGTATTTAGCCTCTATTTAGAATGTGGGAGAAAATCCTCAGTTACCAGCAAATAGTTTTAAAATCTTATTTCATGAAGCAGCAAAGATTCTAAAAACAAACTTTGAGAATAAAATATACTTAAAAAAGAAGCTGCTTTTTTTTTTTTTTTTTTTTTTTTTTTTTTTTTTTTTTTTTAAGCAGGCTGATATTATTTAGTATGGGGAGATACAAAAGAGACAGAAAATGATTTATTATTTATGACTTTCAGTTAGCTTTTGATTTTTGCTTGCTTTATTTCCCATACATTTTATGCTGACTTTTATAAAGAGAGCTAGCAAGCATCTTTCAGATTCTCAAATATCCTGTAAAAAAATACTTGCCTGGAAAAGGATTATCTAACTGTAAATGTTGAAGTAAAAATGGTTGACATTTCAAGAGAAAAATTGTATTTCTTTTGTATAGTTTCCAAGTTTTTATCTAGAACAATCATTTATTTGCACTGAATCAATTTTCTATTCTTGCAAATAAAGCATCATTAGCATTTATGTCTGATGAAACAGCATGAATTTCTTTTTCAGATTTCATCTCATTTTGTCAGCCATCACAGCAAATTTTTCTAAATTTTCATCTCTTACGAGCATATTTTTTATAAAATCAGGCAGTTTACCGAACCATAAAGATTTTAGCACTTTTTCTGAAAAATCATCTGTAGCTAGACTTTTCATTTTCTGCAAAAGCGGACTTGGCTTATAATCTCCGAGTTCTAATGCAGTAACCAAATGCCAAATTTGCTTATTTTATTAATTCGCTTTAAATGTAATGGCATGAAATGTAAATAATTAATTTAAAAGAAACTCACAAATATTTTAATAATTATGAATGTTCACTTTGCATATTATTGAATTATCTTTTTTTGGCAATAGTTTTCATACTGATTTCTTTAAAATTCAGTGTTTTGTTTTTAAGAAAAAAAAAAATTAGTTTTGCTACCAGAGTTGAAAAATAAAGAATGTGGTGTTAATATAATAGTATTATTTGTAGTTCAATAAAATACCATTAAGGTAGTAAATCTTTATCTGTTTTTTATTATGTTGTCTCAGCTAAGAACCAACAATATATTAAATAAGTCTACAAGTCTAATAATTGTAATTAAAATATAAAAAGAAGATATTTCCTTGTCTTCCTTTTCTTCATCAGATAATTCTTGAAGAATCCGACATATTGGTTGCTGGTTGCACATATTTTTTGGCATGGAAACCGATATAAAATTTACAGAGCCACATGAATTCAAATAAAAATAATGCACGGCAATTAATAACACAAAATTACAAAATATTTCAGAAAAAAGATATTTTCCAAATTTTAAAACACGACCATGCGCGTGTCATAACTTTTATGAAAAAGCTGCCATGTAGCACAAAAGCCCAGTTAAAAAAAAAAAGTCAAATGATGGCACATTCCATGATGTGGGAAAGGGCAGAAAGGAGGAATAGAAATGATCTTCTGACGTCTCAGCTTCGATATGCGAAAAATGTGCATTAAAAACTGAATTTGTCGTAAATTTTGCGCATACGTGTGTGCTGGAAGGTTAAAGAAATTATATTTTTGCAAATGTACTGAAAAATTAAACAGAGAGTTAATAAAAGTCAAATTCTTCACACAAATGTCTGCAATAATGAACAGAAAACGGCCTTGTTATCAAAATAACAGAGAGAGCCAGGTAATATCTTACAAACTATGCAAATTACAAATATGCAAGAAATTTATACAGACTATAAATATTTGTTACTCTCAGCCTCTAATCTCATGGTCAGTTTAAGATTTAGCAGCATTTTGCAACTAAATACTAACAGCTAGAATGTGTAGTTGTTGAAGCTGAAGTTTTTTAATTTGTGCCTCTTCTGAGCAAATATTTTTTATTCTAAAGAGTTGATTAAATATTGTATTTCCTATGACATTTTTTTAAATGTTCGATTCCCAATTAAAAAGCTTTAAAGTGTTAAAATTAAAATTTCTTCTTTTGTCAAAATGTTTCACTTCTTTGTAATTATGAGGCTTATATCTAAATTGTCAATTGTACTTAAATCTAAATTGTCAATTGTATCAGTGTGAGTTTTGTTAATTTTAAGACAACATGAGTATATATTGCTCATTATAGCAGAGTTTTGTGTGCACATATATGTAAAATGTAAAATATGAAAGATAATCACTAATAAAATTTTGACACTAAACCTCATAATTTCTGATTTAAATTACACACACTTCACATTTTCACTAACACCTGCAGTACTCTGCATTGCAAAAACTCTTGCAAAATCGCTATCCAGAATTCAAACAAAGAATTTCCAAGCTATAAATATTTCAGCTGCCTTGTGCACTCTCTCTTTTGCCACCTAAACTCACTTGTTAAATGATGTCTCTTTACTTAACTGAATCCTTCCATTATTCTAAAATGTAACTGCACATATAAAATTGTGGTGTGCCTATTGCACCCATAATTATGTGTGAAGCATACATTGTGTCTCCAGAAATGCTTTAACTAATAATTAAAATCATGTTGAATTCAGCCACGTCTAACTGCAAATCTATCATTCCACTTATGCAGTAAACATGTCCAAGTTGCACCTAGAGTACAATTCTCAAAATATTGCATAGATACACACATACACAAATCTGCTATAATTTCGAAACTGGTCAGTAACTTAGATTTACATGGAATTTCTTTTATGGTTGATTACTTATACTAAAGGCTTATTAATTTATTACTCCTTAAATAAGATTTTAATCAGTAGTTTTTATTATTATTTACAGCTTAATTACTTTAAAATATGCTTACATTTTTTTATACGTTTTGCCTTCACTGCTCCATAACTACAATTTACACTTGCAATTAAATCCTATGTACATAAATGTGAAGGCGTGTGTGTGTACACACATAAATATGAAATGAAACAAAATGAATAAATTTATAATCTTTTCTGAACAGTTAAATCTTCAAGGAAAAATTAATAATAATAATAATAACAAAATCTGAAAGGGTTCAGATTTTTATAGTCAGCCAAAAAAGCTCTTTAAAGTTTAATATGTTTTATCAGCAGAGATTATCAACAGTGATGGCTCAGGTGAAACAGAAAAATATTTCCTACGATACTAGATGAGTATACATATAGACTAACATGGGAACTATACATATAAGTGATAAAACATATAGTGTAGCTCTATAAAAATATTTAATGTTTTTAATTAGATATATTATGAATAAATACCTTTTTATTTAAATCAATCAGATTAAAAATTAAAAGAAAAATATTCTTAACTGCATTTGCTGATTTTAAATAGCTCAGTTTGTTAATCAATAACAGATTATATTTGAAAGATAAATATCTTACATTTTGCTGAGGCAACAGACTCAAATGAAAAGTAAAATATTGTTTTTGCGAGACTTTTTTATACATTATTAGCCCTTTTCAGCTAATAATGTATAAAAAAGTATAATAGAAAAGAATAAACCAAAAAAATTCAAAAAATATAGATTGTTACAATTCTCACAATATCTCTTCGTAGGGTTAGTGCCAAGAGATAGCATAATAGGACAGCTATGTTTCTGAATTACACAATGGACAATTTAATAAAGGTAAGAAATTTTTATAAATAATATTTTGTTAAGCAAAATGAAGTAGTTAACTTATTCATTAATAAAGATCAAACTCTACATGGCAAAAAAGAAAAGTGTAATTCAGCTGAAACCAAGAATGAAAAGCAAACTGACCAAGCATGTGGCATAAGGATGACCGAAAAAGCACAACAAATCCAAATAAATTAAATTAATGAATAACTAAAATAAATTCAATTAATTTAGATAATATATCAAAAGGAAATAATTCATTTAAATGAATTTATTAATTTTAGCACATTATACACACATGCATATCCATCACAAGATATTTATATGTTGCATAAAAAACATACATTAAGAAAAGAGTATACCAATTTCTACCAAGGTATAATATTTACATTCATCAAGCACTTAAGTACAGTACAATATTTCTTCAAAAATAAACAGAAGCTCTAAATTTGGCTAAAAGGCAGAAAAAGAGCAGATTCATAAAATTTAGACACCAGACAAAATTTAGAATACTTTTCAAAATTATGAAAAAAGTTAACACCTTTAAGAGACAATAATGAAAATAAAATAAATAACCTTGCACGAGAATCTGCTTTAGCTAAAAGCCACATCCTCTTTGTGATTGTGCTACGTGAAGCTGCTTTGTTTCTATCATCTGAAGAAGTGCTACTTGATGATGAGGAGGCAGTTGTAGGATTGGATATGTAGAATTTTCTGCCATTGCTTGAGGGAGTTTTATGAACATTGAAATCATCGACAAATAATATACAGTCAGAAGCTAAAACTGCACCAAACAAGGTTGAAAAAAAAATTAAATGAAAAATGTTAAATAATGCAGATTACTAAAATGCAAAATATTAAATAAAAATGCTTATACAAAAATTTTGCTTACAAGTTATATTACTTTCCGAAAATGGATCAAAAGCAAATGAGAAAAGTGATTCTGTATATGATTTCTTCCACAACTTGGTTCCAGATTCAGTATTCCATAAAATCATAGAATAGGGAGGATGGAGACCAACTAATAAATGCTGACAATTGTCTCTACCAGAAAGCCAATCAATATCTGAAATAAAAGAAGCATTATTTTAAAATAGTATATATTCTGAATCACCCATACTTATGTAATGATATGAATTCTAATTACAATCAAATTGTCCTAATTAAATCAAAAAATCCTAAAGACAGGATTTAACTTTGTGAAAGACAAATGACAAATCATACAAAAATTTTGTACTTAACATTCCTTTTAAAATAGAGATATTAATAAAAAATTACCAATAATTGTCAAAAAAATAAATAAAGCATTAGATTCTTTTTTTTTTTTTTTTTTAATTTGTAGGTTTAAGAAAACATCATGGTTACTGTCTTGTGCATTTATTGCTCTGTAAAAAAGGCACTTTAATCGAATTTTTACCAAAGTAATAGATAATATTTAAAATAACTCTTATCATCTCTTTATATATTGTTTTAAAATTATTTCATGCTTGATTTATATAGATTTTACATAACATTTCTTTAACAATCATTTAATACAAAATTCTCAGTATTCTTCATAAATGAATTTAAGATCTTAAACAGATAAGAAGAAAGATTAATATGATAATATTTTGGGAAAATATTACTGGCTTTAATTAAAAAAAAAAAAAAAAAAAAAGAGAGAGAGAGACAGCAAAAGAGAGAAAGAAAAAAAAAAAAGAAAGAGGTGAAGAAAATAATGATTCTTAAGACATTAAAATTCTATTTCAGTAACCAAGCATCAATTAATTTTATTATTTGTAGTTATACAGTAAGCATTAACTGTCCTTCCCTGGCCTCCATTTTTAATTTGATGTATTTTTTAAATGATTCTAAAGCAATGACTCAAGACTGCACTGTCATATTTTCTTATCATGATTTAGTATGAAAATAAGTTCAATATAAATCAAATTTTGAAATCTTTTGAATCGCAAAAATATGTATGAACATCTTAAACCATAATTTGCAATATAATATTTGCAATGTTATCAAACTAATGAAAATTTATTGTTTATGTGATAATTTGTTAAGTATGAAAAAAATCTTTCCCATCACACAAATGACTTAAGAGTTTCTTTGCCTAGGTCTGATAACATGCTTAAATGTGTACCTATTTTCAAAATCTTATCTTTATATGCAGCATCAGACTGAAAGGCACACTATGCAGGCTGTTGCTTGGCTTAATGGATAAATATCCCAAAAGATCAATTTAAATAAACTGTTTTCCTGTGTGTTTTATTAAATTGCACCTGAAACATCATCTGTCCTGGATAACAACATGCCTTTACCTTGCTGTTATAAATATTTTTTCCCAATCATTTATACTGACTTTTCCAAGAATTAAATTGATATCACAAGCTACTAAACTAAAGAAAGATTCATTTTCTTCAAGTGATATTACAAAGACATGTGTCTTTCTTACAGAAAGCATATGATATGTAAGTAAAGTAGGCAGAGATTAACTTTTTCACAATTTCAAAAGTTTGCAATTTTTAAGAAGTTAAATGCTTAGAATAGTAAAAAGAAAAATTTAGAATAAATGTAGAGAAATTTAATTATAAATAGAGCAATCTTAATAAAATCATGACCCATCATGATTTGCAATGTTATGAAGCCCTTAGCTATAACAACTTTCTCAAAAAATAAATATGATTTGCCGAAATATGGCCTTAAACTTGCTTTATAGTTACACCCTTTATACATCCCACACATAAAGACAACATTGATTTTCAGATTTCTCGAATCTGTCATATAAGAATACTTTTTTTTTTAAAAAAAAAAAAAAAAAAAAAGAAAGCAAAAAAATTGTATTAAAAGTTTTCAATTAAAGTAAAACTTGAAGATTGAATTGAACAAAAATAATTTTGCATGCAATTTTTGAAAATTATACTTATTAAAAGATATAAATAAAATTTAATAAATTAAATATATGGTTAAATCTTTAAAGTCTTAAGATTCATTGGCTAATCTTTGGAATATGGTAACAGGTAGTTTGGTGACATTTTGGTAAGGCAATAAAGGTTACTAGCTAGGACTTTAGCAGTGTACATGGATAAAGTCAAGAGTGTGCGCAATGCCATTTTTGTGCAATTCTGGGATTTTTTTTTAAGTGAAAACAGGTCGACGTGTGCATGGATACCATGTATGTGCAATTCTTAAAAACGCGGCAAGCAGTGGGCGATTCTGCACTTTCTCCCAATTTCGCACCTAATCTTCGTCATGATTAAACACTTTTGTTCCATAAAAGTTTTAGTATAAGCGTAATTCGGCTAGCAGACTGTTGGAAAAAATGTTGAGTAAAAAAAAAATGCCTTTACTTCGTGAAAACAAAAATGGCGTCCAATACAAAACTAGCAGGTTGCTGTAGCAGGGTTGGTCGCCAAATTTTCGCCAAGTTACCATAATCCAAAGATTAACCGATTCATTTTCTCAATACAGTTTCACAAAACTATTATTTGAATAACATTTGAAGTTGTTTACAGTTCTTGCAAGTACATTAAGGCAAGGGCAGAAGAATTAATTCAAGAAACATAAACAAACATTAAAGATGCAGCACCTAACTTCTCTCTGGAAAACTATATATACATATATAACCTGAAAACAAAACTTTTAAATAAAAAATAAAAACTAGCTTTAAAATTACAAAGTACTGAAAACAGACTGTCCCCCCTTACGAGATTAATCTCCCAGACATTTACATTTTAACACAGTTAACAATCAGAAAAGAAGTGCAAGACCTGATGCTGGTTTTCCAGTTTCAGAGAAAGTAGAAATTGTTCTTCCATCTTTGGCATCCCATACCACTATTAATCCACTGGCATCAGCAGATGCCAGTTTCAGTGTGTAAGGATGAGTTAAATCATGATAATAATTTTCATGAGCCCATTTTACCTAAAAAATTGAATATACAAGCTACATTGAGTAAAGTAAATAATTAGTATACTTTACACTAAAAAGAATGAAATAATATAAAGCAACTCTACCATAATTTTGTCACAATATGGCTTTTGAAACACAAAAGAAAATTAAAAATAATTATGCATGAGATTACTTAAACTATGTCATTTCAAAATTCCTTACTGATTATTCATATTTAAATACCTCAAAAACCACTTAATTATCCCTATTCCATATGCAAATGAATTCAAATTAAATGAATATCCTGATATAGAAATAAAAATGATTGAGCAGGCAATAATTCTATAGCAGGTATTAGGCTAACTCTTGTCATAAAATAATTTAATTGGGAGATAGAAATATGAACATAAAATATGAAATAAAAATGAAAATTAAACACAGGAATCTCTTATTTAAGACAGTTAATTAATCCTTGTGAAATATCATGTTAAATAAAATTAAATAGGATAGAAACATGACTGCAAAGAATGGCTTTATAGATTTGATGAAATTGCTCATTTTTTCAAATGTGAAGAATGAAACTTCCTTTAGTATATGAGAGAGGTAATTATTCAATATTTATAATATTATGACTAGCACTTCTAGTATACCTTAAAAGTTAATCATATAACTGAATTTTTTAAATTTCATCTGGTGACACATGTACAGAAATGGTTAAAAATTAGCAAATAGTTATTTGGAAACTTTTCCAAAGCAGTAGGTGATGAAACACTCTTTCCTCTCCAGTTTCTCATCAGAAGGTATTGTTAAGAGTGTCATTTTTTATAGTATAATGACTGTCAAAAGTTCATTGCGCATGTTCAAATATTATTATTTGGCGAAATTTTGCTTTAGCTGCAAAAAAAATTGTAAGAAGCTACCAAAAAACTAATAGTATTCTAGTTTGACTTCATATTTATAGTGCACAAAGACTACATTCTTGAATGAATTATTATAGTGATATACCCAATAATAATAATTTTCTCTAAAGCCCACTGATAACAAATTCAGAAGAGGAAAAAAAAATCTGAAAAGTTTCAGATTTTAAATTACGTCCAAAGGGGCATTTTTTTAACATTTTGTCTGCTACCTTTATTTACTAAATATCACAATCTTCGCACTTGCACCATAAAATTAAGTTCAAGAGCAATATCGCAAAATAGTTTTAAATTGAGCATACCTTTAGAATTTCTGATACAGAATCTCGCTCGCTGGAGGTAAAAATGTTTTTTCTGTACAACGTTGCCATTGCTTGCTCAGAAATCCTTGAGTTTTTAATCAAAAATTTGTTAAAGTTTTACAAAATATGAAACCGCTAATAAAACAAATTCCAAATTTGGGCTTTCACATGCCCATATTCGCAGTAGGATTACGTTATTCAAAATTCGATGGTTCTATGCACCGTTGTTTTATCATAATGCAAGAAATATTCATACATTTATGCAGATTTTTCATCATTTAATTTCTTCATATATTATGCAGGACTCAACATTTGGTGGCAACAGTTGAAAAGTGAAACGGACATTTATAGTGAACCAACGTAATATCGTAAAATGAAAACAATAGTCCTTCAGGGACAAAGCCCCTTTGGACTAATAAAAATGGTTACAATCAAGTAAAAGAGTAGTTGTGCAAATGTAATATTACAACACTACTGCAATAGCAACCATTTGAAATTCTAATAAAAATTTCGTGGATCACTACTTTACAAGAAATATTAGAAGAGAAAAAGCTAAAAGGCTTGAAAGATAATTTTTGAGGTGATAATATATTTGAAGAGATTGCAGAATACCAATCTTAAAACATTTAGTTATACATGATTATTAAAATCAGTACTTCTAAACCTCATAGTATAAAATTTCTATTTTATTATACCTAACCACACATTGGGTCATCGAAGAAATTCTATGATAATAGGCTAGTATAATCATGAAACAAAAAAGGAAGTGTTCTTATTTCAGACTAGAACTTTCATTCAAGAGATAACATATTGGTACTCTTCTATTATCAAGACTAGATTCAGAAATGTATGTACAGGGTGATTATAATTAAAGTTTAAGTTTCAAAACGCTATAAAAAAAGAACCACTCATGAAAATGACGTCAAATTTGAAAGGAATGTTATTGAAGAAGGCGGAAAGCGTATGGCAGAAGAAAAAATTTAGTTTCAAAAGTTAGCAACAGATGGCGCTGCAAGCGGAAGAAGACGTAAAATAAAATGTTAGTTAAATTTCAGTGTTATAAAGCCGTCAGGTATCAGGCTGTTCCTCATTTTGCGTCTCAGACGTTCGCCATGGGTGTTTCACTGCAGGACCGCGCTCTGCTGGTAAAGCTGTATTACAAGAATGATGATTGTGCAAGAGTAGCTCTGCAAAAATTCAGGACACTGAAGGGTATAAAAGAAGGCATTGGTCCAATGAGTGTCGTAGGTCTAAAGAAAATGATGCAAAAATTCGAAACGACAGGTTCGTTTGATGTGCAATCTGGTAGAGGGAAAAACGAGTGCATTCGACCGGTAGTTGAAGAAGTGGCCCCAGCATTACAGGAGGGGGTCGGCCGGTGGTGTGCAAACCGTGCAGTGCACGAGGGAATTGCCCGAACATTGGACAGGCCTACGAGCACGGTGCTGAAAATTGTACGAAACATCCTGCAATGCTATCCGTACAAAATTGGCTATGTGCAGGAGTTGCTTCCGTCTGACCTGACAGCTAGGGAGACGTTTGCGTTAGAATTCCTGGCTCGCATGGAAGTGGATAATGAATGGCCGTGGAAAATTTTGTGGACAGATGAAGCCCATTTCCATCTGACAGGATACGTGAATACCCAGAATTGTCGAATACGGGCAACAGAAAATCCATTGGCAACGCACCCCGTACCACTTCATCCTGAAAAGGTCACTGTATGGTGTGGCTTTATGGCATCATTCATCCTACAACCATATTTTTTCAAGCAGACGGGTGCTTCCGGTCCTGTTACCGCAACCGTCACTGGTCAGAGGTATGCGTCTCTTTTGCACAACCACGTGATTCCAGCTCTGCAACAGCATAGATGTGTGGATGAAATCATTTTTATGCAAGATGGCGCTCCTCCGCACATTGCACATCCCGTGAAGCAGCTGCTGAGGCGCCATTTCGGAAATGCTCGAATTATCAGCCGTCATTTCCATACAGCCTGGCCGTCCCGATCGCCTGATCTTACTCCGTGTGATTTCTGGCTGTGGGGATATCTGAAGGATGTTGTGTTCCGTGCTCCAATTGCAAATTAGCGGAATTAAAGGCACGCATTTCACAACACATTCTGAACATCACCCCGGAGACACTGCGATCCGTTGTGGAACATGCTGTGTTGTCGCTTTCAACTTGTTGCACACAATGGTGGACACCATATTGAACATGTTTTGCGCCAGTCTCGTGACAGTTCCGAACTTCTTTGATGAATGGTTCTTATGCGGTACGTCGCCGCAAAAACTCTTGAAACCAATTTGTCCCTTTCGATGTGATATGTACAGTCATGCAAATAAAATTATTCAACAATTCTAATTTGTCAATACGTTTTAATGTGTAACTTCCACCTTAGCCGTTGTTTTACGAATCATTTCTCGTCGTGATTCTGCCGCTTACAGCGCCATCTGTGGCTAACTTTCGAAACTAAATTTTTTCTTCTGCCATACGCTTTCTGCCTTCTTCAATAACATTCCTTTCAAATTTCACATCATTTTCATCAGTGGTTCTTTTTTATAGCGTTTTTAAACTTAAACTTTAATTATAATCACCCTGTATATATGCATGCATGTATGGATGTAAGTGCTCATGAATGCATGTGCATATATACATACATTTCTGAATCCAGTCCTGATAACAAATGAGTAATTAACAGTCCTGATAACAGTATTAACTATATATTTCCTGACATTAGCAAAATAATGTAATGTTTTACCACAATTACACTTATTTAGCTACAGATGATTCTAAATACATTATCAAACATTAACATTTACATCAGTTAACACAATGAATTATTTTATAAACTATACTGCTTATTTTCTTACATTACTAACAGAACATAATCTTACATTAATCAAAATCGGCAAATTGTATCAATTACTGCATCGTTTAAATCAACTTCCTAATCAACTGGCTATTTTTTAACAAAAAAATACATGTAAAAAAATTAAAACTTTATAACTTCAAAACAAATTTCTGTGTTATTAATTCTAACCCTATTTCATGATGCAATTATCATTGACATATTTTAAAGCCAGAGCATGATCAAAGATGTTTTTATAAAGAGAGGGAAAGAGAGGAAGGGGCAGAGAGAAAGACAGTTTTCAATATTGCAGTCCCCACCCTTCACACACATGTATACGCTTGCAATACATAAAACCTCATATCTCTAAAATCCACCCACTTTAGTCATCAAAGATTTGAAATTAACATTAAGTTAAAAATCACAATATATAAAACATGACAAAAAAACAGCACATTTTACAAGAAATCAGTACAAAGTAACCAAAAAAGTTCTTGCTATTTCTGACATGACATTGGAAGAGTGGATCCCAACATAAAAACAGTGGTCAAATCTGGCAATGAAGTTGTTAGGATGGGACTCCAGACATTGACCAAGAGTATAACAGCACATTGGATTGGTACTTCAAACATAACTCACACAACAACTGACTGAAATGGATGCGCTCATTCAGAGTTCTTTGCTGTATGATTTTAAAGTGGGCCTGTCAGCAGTAGAATCAAGTCGCAGAATTTGCCAGGCCTTTGGGGATGCTGCCATTAACGATCGAACCACTAAGCAATAATTCCAAAAGTTCAGGTCAGGGTATTTGTTTCTTAGTGATGCATCATGCAGTGGTCGGCCACAAGCGCTGGATGATGAGGCCCTGAGAGCAGCGATAGAGAGTGACACTAGCCAAACATGTCGTGAGCTTGCTGCCCATTTCCTGGTAATTAATGAAATGATCAGACTCCATTTGTGCACGACAAAGGAAAGGCATTCAAGTCGAGCAAGTGGGTATCCCCCACTCACTGTCCAATGCAAACAAGCAACAGCAGGTTACTGCCTGTTTGTCATTGCTTACTTAGTAATGATTATCAATACAGATGACCCACATAAAAGAGGAAAACATTTTGTAAGATACTGGTTGTGTACATAATGAAGTCAGAGGCAGAAAGTGACAAATTCTAGTTTTCACTTTGCTTCACCCATTGTTTGTGGTTATTTGTGGTCGCTCATATTCAATACAAAATTAATTGTCACTTTTCCCATTTTTCCAAATATGTTTGCTTCTGAAAAGGAGAGATCTGTGTCTGATCCCCCTCAAAATGGATACAGTTTTAATTAAATATATACCAAACTAAGATAGCTTTTGTGTCTAATATTAAATGTTACATTGCTGTGTTTCTCTTCTACTTGATATGTTTCATAATCTTAAATTATAAATCCTTTTCAATAATAATTGACAAATTTAATTAAAATTCAGTAAACTGATTATTTATTTAGTTCTTTTAGATTAATTTTTTTAATTTAATAAAACTAAGTAGTAAAAATTTTAAACAATTTACCTTCACAATGTCACTAGTATGTTTCTCCAAGGTTTGAAAGACCTGCAGGAAAAACATGTCATAGTTAAGTACTTCAGACTTGCATTCTTATCAGCAACATATTAGAAGATAAATTCAAAACACAAAAATAGAGATTTTACTTTCAAATTTCCACTTAAATAAGCAAATTATAATTAATATTATTAATGTGTGATGATGGTATCAAAATCTACAGATTATTTTACCAAGTGTATAACTTCAAGGGATCAATCATGGTTTACAGCATACTATAAACAAAGCATGATGTGATTTACAAGTTATCATAGTGTATAAAAATTAGGTAATACTTTTTTTTTTTTTTTAATCTTGAAAATAATCCCACAAACAGGTGCAATCAAGTGCAATACTACTGTTTTTTTTTTTTTTTTTTTTTTTTTTTTTTTTTTTTTGTGTGTGTGTGTGTGTGTGTGTGTGTGTAAGCCAAACAATTCAAATAACAAAGCTGTAAAATTTGGTAAATGAGATAAGCTCAATTCTTTGGAAATCATTTGGTCAGCGAAGAAAGAAAAATTTCATTCTTGTTCACATGGAATCAGTGTCATCTTGGTACATCCTATTGGTGATTCCTTGTCATGAAATTGATAGCAGTTAATTATTTCACAAACTATCTGCAAATATTCATATCTGTTCTCTTAACTTAACATGCATCTGAAGAGCTTATTTATTATCGTCATATTCAACTGAATGATATACACACATTGCGACCAGATAGAAATCAGCTATCAAGATGAGCAAACATCACACATCATCATCTGATCATAAATATTCTCACCAAGTTCTAATTAGCTCAAGATCACCCAGATGCTGTGTTTTTATATAGAGAGGGGAGAAAAATAAAAGTAGTTTGAGTAGGACTACCAAATAACATGTACATTGCATTATTGACAAAAACAGGTTTGATTTTAATGTACCTGTATATTTTTAATTTTATGTTTGACAAAACTTTCATTTTTTGTTAAAAATGTATGGGTACTTTCTGTTAATATGTGTCCCTGCAAAAAAAAAAACCCACAAAAATATTAATTTATGTGGCAACCCACTATGTCACCCAAATGTATTTAATTGAGAACATAGATATGCCTATGGTGCATGTGCATTTGCACCTTCAATGCTCATTTTTCTGATTAGCATTTCTTTTTATACTGAGCACATCTGTTTTTATCATAATGAATCATGATGAAACTGTGAAGTTTGTCCTATTTTATTTTCACTACACTGAAGTATATTAGGATATATGTGATGCAAGATTGGAAGTGGTATCCAATGCCGAGTTTGTGCACTTCTAATTTTTTTTAAAGCAAAAATAGATCACTGCATACATGGGAAGAATAACAGTGCAAAAATCTTAGAAGTGCACAAACTTAGAAGTTTTTCTTCTAATGGAAAAGAAAAAGATTTTAAAAAGTAGGCTGCAACAAATGCATCATGGAAATAGACATAAAGATAACCAAAACAAATGTTTCTCTCCAAAGCTGCCAATGAATTCACATTTCAGTAGGAGTATGGATAATCAGAAAGTACCAAAATTAATTTAATGAATTATTGTTATAAAAATAGATGACAAAAAGTATTGCTCAAAATTAAAGTGAATATGGAACAATTTATTTTAAATCAGTAAAGGCTAATTTTACTGAAGCCATTATTTTAATATATTATTTATTCTTTGACATAGAACTGTACTATTCAGAACCTCTGAATTTAGTAGGACAGAAAATACCTTCATGTTTAAAAGTAACTGAATGGATAAGACTATCAAACACCAACAGTTTCCTCAAGTTTGACTCCTATAACTGAAAGCTATGGAAAGGCTTACAGGTCACTGAAAGCTACAGAAAGGATTACAGGTACAGGTAAATGTGGGTGATACACCAGAAATTCACTACTAGTCATACAGGTATAGTCCTGCCGTAATAATAGCAGCATTACTTTTATGATAAAAGTCATAAAATTAATGCTGCTGTTATTTACTGATTTAGATTTTTATTATAACATTGAAAAATCAATCTTATAACAAAAATTTAAGTCAGTTTTACTTTAAAATTCCTTTTCAATGATATTCCTACTGCATTTCATAGATGTAAAATGAAATTTTAGGAGGAATCGATAAGAAACTTTAATCAAAGAATAACTGAAAAACAGTTATCATATGAAGAGATAATGTAAAAATGTAAGGTACTCATAATGATGCTAATACAAAATTGCAATTTAGCAGCGAATCAGAGATTTAAATTCATAGCGCATTACAGAAGTGAAGGCCAATTGGTAGTCTATAAGCTGCATGTTCTCAACGAGGTCCTTACCATCAACACAGAGCTAAATTAACTAAATTTATTATTATTGATCAAATTTCACATTTCCATTTTTATAATCCTCTTATAGTTTCCTCATATAAAGATTATCTTCATATAAAGATTATTTGAAATTAATATCACAAGAGTTTTGAAATAATAGATATTTATCATTTCAGGATATATTTCTAAACATTTAGTAAACATGGCATATTGTGTCGCTTCTGACCCTAAGATATTCTTCAAATTGACCCTCAAAAGTACAAAAATGATCTTCCATTAAATTTCAGTATAAAGAAATAATAGATTAAATGGCACTTACATACTTTTTTATTCACTATTAAGCTTAAACTATAACTTAAATGCATAAGAAACAACAACAAAAGTTATGTATTTTTCAGTTTAATCTGATCTCAGTTGAAATTCTGATCGATATTTTACAGGGTAACTCAAAGTCGCTGCACACTTGATGTACTATAATAAATAAGAATAATAAAATTATACAATGTAATTAATGTATTCCAATGTACATGCAATTCCATGAATAAATGTATCATTGTATATCATTTGTTAATGTATAATAATGTATAATGTGTATCATTTGTTAAACATTTAGTTAAAAAAGAAAAAATGCTTAGAAAGTGTTTAGTGGATCACTAAGCATTTTCAAGTATTTATCAATGTCTCATTTAGCTCATAATCTCCAAGGTATTGCTGGCATATGGAAATATTATCATCTCATAAAGACGTAGCAATTACTATATTAAAAATTTCTGAAAGAATAATACAAAATTGTACAAAAACTATAGGAACCCATCACCTGTAGTATTTGCACAGTTTCAGTATCAACTACAGCATTTTCAAGTATTTATCAATGTCTCATTCAGCTCATGTCTCCAAGGTATTGCTGGCATATGAAAACATTATCATCTCATAAAGACATAGCAATTAAGTTTATCTGAATTCATGCTTTTAGATTACTGTATGTAAAGTTTCTTAAAGAATAATATAAAATTGTACAAAAACTATAGGAACCCATCACCTGTAGTATTTGCACAGTTTCAATATCAACTATAGTTCTCTGATGAAATTCTATGCATCTATGAACTTGTTTCAATACATAAATTCATATCTACTTAGAAGAAGATTATTTATTGTAGTAAATAAATTTGTAATTATCGTGTCTACTATCACAGAAGACACATGTGCCTTTTAGCTCAGCCTATATATAAAATAGGACTAATTTTTTACAGACAAAATTTAAGTAACAATACCTTAACATGTTGTGTATCAATAATAACTACGTGGTTGTGACATCCATATGCTATGAATGACTGCCATCCCCTGAAAATAAATAATTACATTCAATATTTATTTGAATTTAAATAAATTTTATAAAAAAGCAAATAACTTATTTAAACCATAAAAATGGTAGCTCAGCAACATTACTATGCAAAATCTGTATTTTTCTCGAAGCTGCGTGTGATACTAAACTTGTGCAATTCTATGATGTTCTTTTAAGTGAAAACAGATTTCTGTATACATTGGGAAGAATATCAGTTTAGTTCTCTCCATGTACATAGCAATCTGTTTTCACTAAAAAGACATCAATGAATTGCATAAATTCAGCCTTGGCAATACACAAATCAAACATTATACATATATTATATTCATTATTATAAAACAGTTTTTTTTTTTTCATGAAACTTTATGTAGTGTTAGGATTGCCGCCATCTAGTTAGATTTCACATCAATAGCACTAAATGGTGCCTTGTAACAAAAAAAAATCTTATATATGAAAATTTTAGACAGCTTATGAATAGAAACTTTCGAAAATGTAATACAAATTTTGAAATCCGGACTCGTCAGAACTTCGGCGATTCCAGATTTGGAATTTTTCTAGATCATCAGTTTAAAACCAGTTAAGATGGCATGCAGAAATTATAAAGTTTAAAATATGAAATTGTGATTTATGAAATAATGAAGCATTTATGATCTAAAGGGTATCAATATTTACAAAAAAAAGGCTTAATATTTATTTGTTTGCTTTATTAAACATTTCTTTCAATATAAGTTTTAAGTTCCCCCCTTATATTTTCTCTTTAATTCAGTAGACAGACATAATTTCCTGTTCAGTTCCATTGTTCAAGTCCTGTAACTGCTGCGTCGAGAATTCCAACTAACTTGTCAATCAATTTTTTTTTTTTGTTTTGTTTTCAATAATCTCTTTGTCACTTTCTTCACTACTGGTAGCGGTATTTTCTGGATCTAGAACCATACTACAGATTTCACCGCCCGTTAACTGATTGATGATTGGGATATTGTCATCGCACTCAAAAACTTCTGTTATGCAATCTTCATTTATTACACATTTCTTTGCAAAATCCATTAATTGAAAAATTTCATGTTTGTTTTGCGATATCTGAAAACTTTCAAATTCGCAGCTATCAACTTCATCATCTTCACCATGAAATATGGTAGCTGGCCACAAATTATGCCAAGCATTTCTTAAAGCATCTGAAGACACATCCTCCCCCAATCTTATGATACTCCACACAGCAGATTTTATGCTAAACTATTTCAAAAATTCTTGAACAGTCTTTCCATTATTTAAAAAATTTAACATGGATTTTAAAAATGCTACTTTATATTTGCACTTCAGTGCACGCGCTATTTTGATATCCATAGACTGAATGATGGACATACAATTTGAGGAAAAAATAATATGGATACATTATCTTTCACTAAAACTTTAAGTGAAATATGAGCCATACAGTTATCTAAAATCAGGATAAATTTTTCATCATTATGTAAACCAAATGAATTCAAATGTTGCCGAGCCTTGGCTATGAAATTATTTTTAAATCAATCATTCATTAACGCTTGTGTCATCCACGCTCTTTTACGTACAGGTTAAAAAATGGGAACATCTTTACTCCTTTAAATGCTCGAGGTTGTGTATTTTTTCGATTAAGAAAAGTTTACACATGCGTATTCCTGAAGCTTTTGCACATAATATAACTGTTATAAAATTTCACTTATCTTCTTTCAAATATGTCCAGTTATTATGAGTGTAAAATATTTAATGCTACTTAATAAATTTCATAAAATTAATTTTATTCTCAAACGTACTAATAATTATGTTAATTAAGTTATGTTTAATAATAATGCATCCTACTCATGTTCAGGCATAGATATAAATAATATTTTTAACTGAATTTATTCAGCTCCCATTTGCTCATAGGTCCTTAATTTTTTTCATTAATGGTCCTTAAAAGTACTTAATTTCCGTGTGCAGAAATGTGTACGAAACCTGGTTAAGCTATTCATTGGGAGTACATTATGCCATGGATTGGGAATATGTTAAACCTTGAATTAGGTATATCTTAGACCAATGATTCTCAACCACTGTGCAGTGGCACTTTGGTGTGCCACCACATTTTAAAAATGTATACAGTAAAATTTATAATGGGTTTATATGATACTCATGAGAAATTCAGTTTTTAAGACATTAATAGGTGTGCCAGTCTCCCTTCGGAATCTTTGACACCAGTTGAAATCTTTTCTATAGAGATTGCCAAGGTATTTTGCACCACATATTGCCAGAAAAGACCAGTTTCATCAGCACTGTAAATTTGTTCCAGAGATAATTTTTCACTATTAACGAGTTCATTGAATTCATCTGTAAGTAGTTCAGCATCTTCAGTATTAGCTGAAGTGTTTTCATTTGAAATTTTTAATTGCTATATACCACGGCAATTTTTAATTTGGTTATCCAGCCTGACAAATATGTGCACTCAGTTTTCAAGTTCATTCCTTTGTGAAATATTTTAGCTCGAGCATTGGACCCCTAAATGACACACCCTCCCTGCCATGCTGTCTCACTTATTCAGTCAACACTTTGTCATAATCTTCACTTTTAATATAACGAATAATTTTTCTGTTATTCATTGCGAGTAAGGTGGTGGAATCTACAAAAAATTAAAAAAGTTCTTTTGTTTTTTCCCCCCTGTTTTCCTATATCATATACAGTTGACTTTCCACTGCCATACTCCTCACATAATTTTGAAACAGATATACCTTTATCCATTTTTTTTTTTTTTTTTTTTTTTTTTTTTTTTTCAGCAATTCCACTTTTTGTTTAATGGACATCGAAACATGCTTTTGCTTTGTAGATCCTGTTGTGGCTCCAGAATTAGAAACTCTATAATTACCACATCATAACTGAAAGTTCACCATAATTGAAAGTTCAAACCTTAATTTTCGTAAAATTGCTGTAATAATAAAAGCCTGCAAAAAATAATAAGCTGAATCAAATCAGAAAATTAAGTAACAGTGCAATCTGCTATATTAACTAAAATTCCTTTGGAATCAGTAAAATATAATTTTAGCCTAGCTTAATAGTGTCTGCTATACATTATTGGTTATATGTCATGAGACTGGCAACAAAAGACAAGTTCTTCTGGGAAATTCTGTCTTGCTTCTATGGCACACTACAAAAATTATGCCTGAATTGTATTGGTTTAGTTATTTATTTTACTTACGTCTATTTTTTGCAAATGCTTATCTGAGCCCTGAATAAATAAATTCCCACATATACTAAAGGCTTATATACTAAAGGGCCAGCGCTAGATATCTAACTGCCTGATGCAGGCTCTGCAGGTCCTAAATTCTGCTATTAGGTGCCTAAATTTTTGCTGCCTCTAAATTTTAGACCCCAGTGCTTTCCCTAAGTTCTAAAAATTTTTTGTTCTTGGTGCTTCTCTAAATTTAAAAAGAAAAAAAAAAAAAAAAAAAGTCTCTCATCAATTCTGCCACCCGGTGCAGCCATACGAGCTCTTGCATCGGTTCTGGGTTTATGTGAATAACAATCAGTTATTCTTAATTCAAATAGGACTATATGCAATCTTTTGGCCTCTGAGTATCATTAACAAAATCTATTTTTAACATATGAAAAGAAATTTTTTCTCGTCAACATTTCTTGGCGCATTTAATTATATCTGTAATCATTGCCAAGCATAATGTCAAGATACTCTTTGGAATTAAGTTACTAATATAAAAAAAAATTGTTTTGGCATCATTGCCTGAGTCATTACTGAAGTTGTCATCTGTTGATAAACATGTGGTGATGAAAGCAAAATATAATAAATAATGATTTGCCAGGTTGATATCAAGGATATAAAATATTAATAGGTGTAAAATCAGTGATGTCTCTATCTAGAATGTTTCAGTTTGAGATGTATGCCATCCAGATACGCAGCTATGGAACCAAATTATTGATCACAAAAATGTATTATTATTGTTTAATTATTTATTGTTTCTTCAATAACATGGTATTTATTTAGTGCTGAAGTGAAATTGAGAATGGGGACTCTCGCCATCTTTTATTATGGTTGTAAAAAAATCAAATGCGCATGTGCAAAGCATAAAAAAAATATTGGTGGATTTGAGGTCCGGATTTTAGATCCTTCCGGATATTGGACGTCTGGATCTCAGACTTTGCACTATATACTGCTTCTCATAAGAAAAATTAGTAAAAAAGAATTAATGTGCATTATTTATTTAAAAAGACTGCAGTATTTCCATTTAGTATACTGATAAGTGGGGTTTCTAAACCTTGCACAGACAACTTGTCCAAATTCATTGCAATATTTGTAGTATTTCGTTACAAATAATACAGATTCACATTTAATCTTTATGATATTTTGCATATAATTATGGGCTTCTGAGATTTATCTAACAATGAAGCTGAAATGTATTCATAAAAAAGTAAAAATCAGAGGTTTAAAGTTCTACTGAAAGTGTTAGACATGTTAAAAACTGCCAAACAGTGCTGCTCACTAAAGAATTCGATTGAACAATTTACATTATAGCAAAGCATCTAAAGCCTGTCTACTTGATGGAAGCAAAAGATATCAATTAGCACATGAATATTGAAAAATACATTAACTTTTAATAAGTTATCATTTAAATTAGATAATTTAAATTTGTTTATATATATATATATTATTACATTTGCAAGCAAAATAAGCTGATATTATCTTCCATTAATTTCCTTATAGAAAAAAAACAACGAGATCCAGATCACTCAGAAAATATTCCTTTTTTCTCAAGACTAAGCAAAATCCTCCGAGCAGCATGGGATTTTTGGTTTCTCGTGAAGATCCGTATTTAAACAGAATTTATTAGCTAAATTTATAAAATTACTTTTTTGGTCTCTATTTTCATAAACTTACATTCATTAAGATGACATTTACATTATTAAAGTAAGTAAGAAAGCAAAATATATTAAACTGTGTCAAGTGACAAAAAAACTCTCATGACCAGTCATGCTTCTCAGAGAGTTCATGAATAGCAAATTTAGTCTAAAAGAATTACTTTTCTTTAAGTATAAAAACAGGTGATTCCATCCCAAAAAAGAAATTATGAAAAAGCTATATACAGTCAAAAGTCGTTAATCCGGACTCGTCACGACTTCGGCGATTCCGCATTATCGATTTTTTCCGGATTATAGATCATAAGTTTAAATATGGCAAGATGGCATGCAAAAATTACAAAATTAAAAATATGAAATCGTAATTTATGAAATAAAGGACAATTATGATCTAAAGGGTATCAAAATTTACAAAAAGAAAAAGCTTAATATTTATTTGTTTACTTTATTAAACATTTCTTTCAATGTAAGTTGTTTAAGTTGCTTCGTTTTTTATGTGATAATACATTCTCTTTAATTCTATTAAACAGACTTAATTTCTTGTTTAGTTACAAAGTTCCGCTGCTCAAGTCCTACAATCGCTGTGTCGAGAATACCGACTAATTTGTCAATCAAAATTTTTTCGTTTTCAATAACCTCTGTGTCACTTTCTTCACTATCGAAAGCGAATTATAATGACGAGGAATTTGATTTAAATCATATCAAAGACGGAATACATCGAGATGAAGTACTACATTTAGTAAAGAATTAATAGCCAAATAAAATAAAAACATCTGCCCTGAAGATAAGGATAGTGCTGTTGCTCAAAAACTTATAAGTACCCAACTAAGCTGTGGCCAAAAGAAGAAGTGAAGAATCTCCCACTGCTTGGCACGTTTTTAAGAACTGCGCAAACTTGGTATCCATGTACACATCGATCTATTTTTACTTCAGGAAAAATCAGAGAACTGCACAAACTCAGCATTGTGACTTTGTCCTTGTCCCTTGACTTAGTCCATGTACACATCGATCTATTTTTCACTTAAAAAGTCAAAGAAAATTGACAAAAATCCAATTCTTATTAAAAGTGCCAAAAAAAAAAAAAAAAACGGTACCATATAAGTGGGCGATTCTGCATTTCATCCATTTGTGCCTTCGCCATACTGCCATTTAAAACAACTGTGAAAGCACAAACTATCCTTTACTTTTTCACTAAACCTTTTAGAATAGTTGATCAAAAATAAAAGAAATGTTGTTCATCAAATTTCAAAATATCAGCTGTTGTAAATAATTAGATGCAAATTTTTGAGTAATGTGTGCTTTAATCTTTCGCATAATAATATTAAGTGTTTATGCAATACAAATATTATTTACATTAGAAATATCAGTTAGATTATTGTAATCGAAATTTCGTTAGAACAAAATTTCAAGTTGTACTCAGATATTTGATTTCAACATACCAATCGATGGCACCTTTATTTGCAGAGGAAAGGATTCCAGGAATAGTTCTAGGTGAAACTCTCTGAATCACGGGAGTAGTTTTCTCCTCCACTCCTTTTGAGGATTCAAAACTTAGGGACATTATCAAATTTGAGCTCAATGATTACCATAAATAAGTATCGAAAATTACCTTTAGAACATGCCACATTTATTTATTTTGTTGAATTTCGGCTACAGCTAGATACATCGAAGCAAATTTAACCTATCGCATTTACAATACCTACTATGTGTTAGATTTGTATTATCAACGGTGAAAATTATACTTTAATCGAATTTTAGCAGTCATATCAAAGAGTACTTTAATTTCATACAAAATGTAACAGAGCAAAACACCACTGTGATAAAATTTTAACCCCCAATATTACATCAGCCCGCCCGTAATACAGTAGTTTCAACTAGCTCCTAACTAAAATGAAAACATCATTTTACCGCCAGATCACATGACAATAAACGTCAACAAATGACAGTATTTCCAGATTTCAAAAGGAAATAAATGCCTCTGAAATGAGAGGCATTGATTTAGGCATTTGTGAAGTTTAATGTGAAAAACTAGCATGAAAAATAGCTAATAACTTCATAGATTCATAGTAATACTATATCTATGATTCTTTCATATTATTAGTATATCTATGAATAACTTATGTGTGAAAAACTAAAGGGCAATTGATGGGAACTCTGACTGGCCAACATTTAACTTTACTTAGTTAACATAATATGGATTCAATATTTAGTTAAATGCTTAATTGAAATTTCCCTTGGAATCTGTAAAGGCATTACAGCTATTACAAATCATTCAAAATGTGCTGAAATGAAAAGCACAAATAAATGATTAAATTTAATACTTATTAGGGTCTTTTATCAGGAATTTTTTCAGAATCCAATTCCTTTTAATACAGGAATCTAAATCTAACATCTAAGTACATCATCGGAGGACAACTATAGCCAGAGCTAAGGCTACTAGCAAGGCCAACTAGATATCTAGTTGGCCTTGCTACTAGCCGGAGCTACTATAGTTAGCTCTTTCTTCCTCAGCTGCTCTCCGAACAATATCTAAACCTTAAACTTCATCAAGTTTAAAGGACGAGAAATACTGTCTTATGTCAAACATGGTAATGTTTGATAAACTCATAAGAATGCTAAATGCGAATTGCAATAGTTCAAAATTTCAGATATTCATATATTTCCGGAGTTTTATGAGCAAAATGATGTTAGTTAAAGACATCGGGTTCTAGTCTGGACACCGATCGAGATTGATATCGGAAAACGAGTCGGGATTCTCTTTCCAGTCGACAGCAGAAGGGAGAGCGAGTCTGGCCAGTGCCTCCTAGATTATAAAGCCAATGGACAGGTTGTAGAAACAAGTGTGACGTCAAAGTTAGTAGGCCCACGTGATATTCTCGAGGTTTGGATTCTCAATTGGGAAGCCATTGCTTTGCGGTGTACATAGACTGGAATGTTAGCAGTCGTACTGTCGGGGAGAAGAAATACTTGGTAAGTTCGTATTTATTGAAATGTAACTTTATATTTTGTTCATTGAAATAAACGCTTGCTATTACTAATGTTGAATTAAATTAAGTATTAATTGCTTAATTATTAGTAACACACGTATACTTATTATGTTTATCTCCGTATTAATTAGCCATTATTATTATTATTAATCTTATTTCTGAATTTACTTAATATTTTGTTTAAGTGCATCACCGAAGTTTTAATTTTATGTGTGCAGTATCTAATGTTACGTATTTTCTTTTATAAAAGTTTTTTTTATTATTTCATTACTGTTTTACGAATTTTTAACCTAATCATTTATACAAAGCTTAACAGTTTTTAAAAAATGTAATTGAAAGTAAACCTATACAATAAATCTAGTTAAATTAATAATTACGTATATCAGTTAACAAACGTATGTACGCTAATATGTGAGTGTGTAGAATAAATATAAATAGCTAATATGTGAGTGCATTGTATAATGAGTGTAAGTATAAGTGAGAATGGCAAACTTTTAAAGTTATGTGATCAAAGCGTTCAGTATTTGAAGAACAGTCTAGTAAAAACGTTTGTTTTATTGTGAGTTTAATTATGTATTAACTTATCACTATTGAAAGATGTATTTTATGTGGGTTTCTAAATTTATACTGTGTATTTGCATACAATGTATTTAAATATTAAAGCAGTAAATTCATCTTAACATTCCATAAATAGTGTTTAGTTTACCAAACAAAGTCTTTCTTCAGATTTCACGTATATATTTTACTGTTCAATATTCTAAATATTCTAAACATGATTCGCCTGAAGTTTGATATATTTTCATTTGACTGTTTCAGCATGTTTTAAATATCAAAATTATCATCATTGATGCGAGTAATAATTTCAGTATAATAATAGATATCTTAATAGAAGCTTAGGTGTTCTTCAGATACGAATTTCTTGAAGTCTCATTTCATTCAAATGTTTGAATGACATTTGAAATTCTCCACCGTTGGTTTATGGTGTATCGAATTTCAATGTATAATTATGCAAATTTAAATTGTTATAACATTTAGTATTTATATAACTGATTTTTGTACTGTTTTTACAGAAAATATGCCATTTAAATGCTGTGTAACTGGTTGTCGGGGAAATTATAAAGGTACTGAAAAGGTGCATACATTTTCCTTTCCCAAAAATGATGCTCTTAGAGAGAGAGGTGGCTAAGAAATATACCTAGGAAGGACTTCTCAGCAACTCCATATTCTCGGGTAGGTGTCTAATCCTAATTAATTTATTAAGATTCAATAAATTGTTGGTAGAATATATTCTTAGTCTGCTATGGAAACTTTCTGCAAGCTATAATTTTTACCTCCCGCCAACATGTATAAATAGTATAGTTTTCTATTTGATGAATCAACAAATTACATTTAATTTACAAACAATCAAGGGCTAATGATACTTCGAAGCTCGTTGCTGTATAAGCCATAGAATAGGCGGGAGGTCGTATGCTGTCATGATCAGATTTTTTATATGTAGTGTTAACTGATCCTTAAATATTTGAAACAAAAATTTTAATTTGCATATATGCATTTAAAATTTAACCTGCCCAAAGCATTGCCAAAGCTTGAATGTTTTTATTTATAAGGAAAGTGATTCAATCTTGCTTTACAGTTGGTTGTTTTAAGAAGTTAGTTACATGATGTCTTCCTTTTACTTAATAGGTGTGCCATAAACATTTTCAACCTGATGACCTCATCTGGGAAACATCAGCTTTCGATGAAAAAAATGGGAAAATCATTAAAGCTTCACTGCAGAGACCAAAACTAAAAGAAGGCGCTTTTCCTAGCATATTTGATGGCTGTCCATCGTATTTATCTTCACAAGCTGGTAGTTCGAGAAAAAGTCCGAATGAGAAAAAAATGGAACGAGAAGCAAACCTCATGATGAAAGCTATTGCTCATAGTAAATTATCAGCTGCTGAGTATTATAAATCGAGGACATTTTCAGACTTTAATGAACTTTTAACCTGTTGTATGCAATATAAATTTTCTACATTTTGGAACGTTGTGCACAAAGACAATATCTTGATGTTTTTGAATTTAAAATGCACTGATGGATGTGTAAAATTGCTTTATGCAGTCCACATTACTGCAGATCTTTTATTATCTGTATCGTTTCAAAATAAGTTATTGACTCATATCAGTAGTAAGTATAATGAGTTACCTATAAAAGTAAGTAATATTAATGAAATTCATGAAATACTTGATCATATTGAAATGTTAGACTAAAGACAATGAACGATTAATTTAATCACTATTACCTGTTGCTAAACCGCATGGTTCGTTACTGAGTAACGAGTACATCCAACACCGACTCTACTACAAGCCAGATGGCGGTTTTGTGACGTCACAAGTTGTGGTCATCGGGGATTTGATGCGTCGTCCGTTGTAACGAACGAAGCGTGCTTGTTGCTATCGCTATTTTACAGTGTCCTTTTGTTGACATATTTGTTGGTCGATTCCGACTTAATTTTGACAAATATGGGTGGATGTGTTGCATCAAATTGTTCCAATCATTCAAAAAATAAGTTTAGGACGTTTCGCCAAAAATGAAGAAAATGGATAATTAATTCTCGTCAAAATCAATGGATTCCGGTCTCAAAAGCATGTTTTTGAGGTAAGTTCAGCTTCGAATTTTCTCATAGAATGTTAGAATAAATTACTCTTCGTATTTCTTTAAAACGTGCATTTTCGTTTAACTATCATTTATTAATGATCAAATGATTTTATAAATACAAAATAAACTGCGGAATGTGTGTGTGTTTGTGCAGTAAATTATAGCCGATACTGTTTGTGATGTTTCTTTTATTATCGTTTGTAAAATTGTACACTACATTTCATGTAAATTTTGTGCTTGGTTAGAAATGTGATATGACTTTTCGTGTTTCAATTTTACTCTACGATTGGTAATTTAAAGTCGCATGCTATATTTTGATGTATTGTCACCAAACCTGTTGGTTTGCACCTTTGTTAAAAATTGGATACATAGTTATGATCTAAATTATAAATTATTTAGGTTTTTCGTTATATTAAGATAAATAAATTGTGTATTTGTCTAGGCATTTTGAAGAAGTATTAATTTAAATATTCTATGCATCATTTTGATCCTATTATCATGCTTTTATGTTATAGTAAACCTTCATGTTGTATTTCTAACTATAGTTACTTTAAATTTATTTTCAATGTGTGAACAGGAAATATGTTTTAATTAGCAGTATTAATTAATTAATTTTGCAAATTTAGGGGGGATTTAAAAGTCCTCCTGAAATTTTTAAATTATGCTTTCTATGTGAAAAAATAATTCAAAATTTTCAAGACAAAATAATATGTGGAAATATAACTATGGACGAAGAATTTATAAATATGCAAAATCAGATGAGGTAAATATTCCCTCCTGTTACAATATCAAAACAAAGATCATAAAATGTTTGACTGCACGTGGAATTTTTTTTTTTTTTTTTTTCAAGAAGCTTATTCAAAATAAAAAGCAGCATGAGGAAAGTTTTGAAGCTCCTGCTTTTAAAAGGAAGAAACTAAATTAGAATCTGAATCGACAGTTTAAGAAGTTTTTACTGTTCAGTTCTGTCTGTGAAAAAGTACATTAGTTATTGCTGAAAAATTGTTGCTTATCTCTTAGAACAATAGTTATACCCACGAGTAGCTGAATGGTTAAGGTTACTGAATGCTAAGAGTACATTTTCTGTTCTTTTTCTGAACATGCTGTCTGCATGGTTTTTTTTTTTTTTTTTTTTTTTTTTTTTTTTTTTTTTTTTTTTTTTTTAAGTTTTTTTTTACGTATAAAGTGAATACAAGCCAGTTCTCATTAGAAAGTCCTTCACCATGAGCAGATAGCACTTTTGAGCTTTGTGATAGTCAACTAACCAAACTGTTATGAATATTAGATAATAAGCTTAACATTGGTGAAGATCTTTCTCGTAAATTTGACATGGAATATCTCTTGGTCTGCTAAATCAAATTTACTTTTGTGTGACCTTAAATCAGAGGCACCAATCGTGAATCTGTTTTGGCGTGTTTTAAGAATTATAAATGAAAAATTTATTGCTACTGTGGAAGAATGCTCAACTAATGTTTACCTTACTAATCAATTCTTATAGTATTGTAATGGCTTGCTCTGTTGCAAATTTTTCGCTAACCAGAAACTTTCAGTACTGCATTTCCTTTAATTGTGTTTTTGTTTATGCCCTTTCAGTTATAATTCTTATAATCATAGGGATAATGAAAGTATTTAATTACTTTATATTTAAGAAATAATTAAGTTTTTTTATTTATGGTAATATTTTGCACAGATTATAAAGTAAACATTTCACAAAAGAGAGCATATATTTTCGGGAATATTGTTTAAAGTAAAAATGATATCAGTTTTTAAACATTATATATATATATATTAAGAAAATAAAATCAGGCTCTAGTGTAGAATTGGGTGCCCCTTTGATTAGCGACATTTTTTTTTTTTTTTTTTATTTTGGCAATGAAACCTCGCTTCAGGTTACCATGATAGTTTTAACTTTGTTTTAGCTTCCTTATTTAAATGAAAATAGATTGATGTGTACATGGACAAATTTAAGGCAGTGCGCAATGCCTAGTTTGTGCAATTCTAGGATGCTTTTTTAAGTGAAAACATATCGATGTGTACATGGACACAGAGTTCGTGCAATTCTTTTTTTTCCTTTTACTTATTACATGCTCCGCCTTTAGGCACTACAGGAAAAGGAGGAATGCCCCGTGGAGGTCTTGCTAAAATCCTAGTATACGGTGCAGCCTTGGTGCAATTTTGAAAATTATCGCCAACATCAAAATGACCTGTTTAACTACTCATCGTATATGTCCCGTTTACTGCTCATCATAAAGTGGGCAAAAGTAGCCAAATCCCTTGTGCACCAGATACTAGGATTAAACTTTTAAAATCCTAGTATACGGTGCAGCCTTGGTGCGATTTTGAAACTTATCGCCAACACCAAAAATGACCCAAAGAACGTCTATGTATATACTATACACTATATACATAGTATATGCTATGTATAACTATATATATTCTTTGAATGACGCGTTTACTACTCATCATATATGTCCCGTTTTTACTGCTCATCATAAAGTCGCCAAAAGTAGCCAAATCCTGTGTGCACCGGATACTAGGATTAAACCGAGGTCTTTTTAAGGTAAACTGGCTCATATCCAAGTTACACATGGGGAAAGCCACGAAAACGCCCATGCAGCCAGCCCATTTGCCGGGATTCGAACCCTGGACCGAACTACCAGTGTTCAGCGGCTTTTACCGCTTGCCCACTGGTGGGCTTGTGCGATTCTTTGACTTCTTATTTTGGTTTTGTATAGCGGCCATTTTGAAATTGTGCCTTCCTGACGCCAATCTTGGTGTCAAAAAAGAATCGCCAAAATACAAGGGACACCCAATTGTAAACTTTTACCTAAAATCACTACTCATCATGACACCAAATTTTTTAAAATGAATTTAGATCAGTAAAATATTCAAGACTATGCAAATTGTAAACAAAAACCAATGCACGTATAAAGAATTCTTTATTTGATTGCAGTCTTAATGTGACATGTCAGAACACTTTTCATATTTCACATTTTATTTATTCATTAAAAATTATTATGCATTCAAGTTTGTTTTCATTTTAAACTTAGTTTTGAAAAGGCATAATAAATTATTTTCCAGAATATAATATCTGTTGTAATGTCCATAGATGGATTTATATTAAAATATAAAATTTTATTTGTTAGAAAATAATACAAATTTTCATAAATTCAACTGCTAAAGAAAAATACACAACAGTACATTTATAACAAATTTTATTACAGCATCTTTACACATATCATTATAACTGAAATCCGACACAATTTATTCTGCGTTGACACAAAAGAAATACAATGCAAGAATATAAAACTCGATCATTATAAGAAATGAACATTCATAATATGAATCATTTATTATCTTCATAATAAATGGTTTTCTCTCCTTTTAATGCAATATTCAGGTATAGAATCCAGTACAGTTCTGTTATGGGGAAGCCATCGGCAAATTTTTTGCTAAACTCGCCAAGAGACTGGTTCATATGAAGTCGCCAATGTTTACTTCTAAAGTCATTAGAATGTTAACTTTTTTAAGAAAATGTAAAAGAATGTCTTTTCAAAATTGGCAATGAGAATGCAAATTCCAAAGACGTAATGGTCACTTGTATTTCAATCAAAGGCCTTCAACACAAGTTTCCCATATTCTATTTAAAATCTCTGGTTTCAATGATAATTAAGAGAATACATGTCAATAGAATAATGACAATCAATGGCATTTTAGAATGCTTATTATCAATAATTAAATTTACAGTTAATGAAATAAAATTCCATTAATGCATCACAAGGTAAAAGAATGAATGTCCACAAATGCAACTTTTCAAAATGGAATGACATTAAATAAGTTTCAAACGCTATAAAAAAAGAACCACTGATGAAAATGATGTGAAATGAAAGGAATGTTATTGAAAAGGCGGAAAGCTATGGCAGAAGAAAAAATTTAGTTTCAAAAGTTAGCAACAATGGCGCTTAAGCGGCAGAATCACGACCGAGAAATGATTCGTAAAACAATCTAAGGTGGAAGTTACACATTAAAAATTCAAATTAGAATTGTTGAATAATTTTATTTCATGACTGTACATATCACATCGAAAGGGACAAATCGGTTTCAAGAGTTTTGCGGCGACATAATAAGAACCATTCATCAAAGAAGTTCGGAATCGCGAATAACATGTTCAATAATGCAACAATAGCATGTTCCACAACGGATCGCATGATGTTCAGAATGCGAAATAATTCCGCTAAATTTGCAATGGAGCACGGAACACAACATCCTTCAATGCCAGAAATCACACGGAGTAAGATCAGGCGATCGGGAAGGCTTAGGGAAATGACGGCTGATAATTCGAGCATTTCCGAAATTCAGCAGCTGCTTCAATTGCAATGTGCGGAGGAGCCATCTTGCATAAAAATGATTTCATCCACAATATGCAGATGGAATCATACGCATACCTCTGACCAGTATAACAGGACCGGAAGCATCGAAAAAATATAGGATGAAATAAAGCCACACCATACCGTGACCTTTTCAGGATGAAGTGGTACGGGGTGCGTTGCCAATTTTCTGTTGCCCATATCGACAATTCTGGGTATTCACGTATCCTGTCAGATGGAAATGGGCTTCATCTGTCCACAAAATTTTCCACGGCCATTCATTATCCACTTCCATGCGAGCCAGGAATTTAACGCAAACGTCTTAGCTTCATCAGACGGAAGCAACTCCTGCACATGGCCAATTTTGTACGGATAGCATTCATGTTTCGTACAATTTTCAGCACCGTGCTCGTAGGCCTGTCCAATGTTCGGGCAATTCCTCGTGCATGCACGGTTGCACACCACCGGCCGACCCCTCCTGTAATGCTGTGGCCACTTCTTCAACTACCGTCGAATGCACTCGTTTTCTCCCTTCAGATTGCACATCAAACAAACCTGTCGTTTCGAATTTTTGCATCATTTTCTTTAATACGACACTCATTGGACCAAGCCTTCTTTTATACCCTTCAGTTCCTGAATTTTTGCAAGCTACTCTTTCATCATTCTTGTAATACACTTTGACTTTGAAACACCCATGTTACGAAATACACACACTGTTAACACACACCACACTGATAAGCACAAATGTATATTACCAAATGAAGAGTTTTTGTTGAAAATAAGGAGGATGAATTATTCCAATACTTATATTTGGAATTAAATCATGCACACAATCAAGTTCTAGATATTCCTTTGTTAATCATTTTCTTTATCATTCAGGACTGATCGATATTCTTGAACAGAGTGGTGTGACAATGGATATTGCACATATTTTTTAGTCCACAAAGCACCAATTCTTAACTTCAATAAACTAAGATATATCCTATGCATTTTTACACCTGAGAGCCATTTCATGATAAAAACACTCCTTTCTTCGTTATGAATACCTGAAACAAAGAAAGAAAAAACAGAACAAATTTATTTTTTAGTCTTTAAAATCATATATCATATAACTATTATACAGGTGAAATGTTATAAAGACCTATGTATGTAACTTTGTAAAGACTTATAAATTAATATCATAATATATTTATAGAGCTTGGGTCAAAATTATTATTATGAAATATAATTATTGCTGTATGTCTCTTTTTCTTTTTAATAAACAACAAGGTGTTAGCCGAGGTTTCCAAGCCTCGTTACCAAAGTGTACGTGGTAGAGCCTTATCATGTCAGGAAAAGTGCAATGACAGAAAAGGATACCGGACGTCCCTTGCAGTCACACTTCATCATTCTTTATTTAATTATTTCAATAACTTTTCAAACTTTTAGTCTGTTTGCTTATTTTTCATGTTCCAAAACGAAAAGTCCCTAGGCCATTTCCAAGTCGTTTTCCAGTAGAAGCAGTCCGGCTAATTCTATCTTTGGATTTCTTAACAGTGAGATTTTTTATGGGGTGGGGTAGTTAGCCCCACACCCAACCCCCAACCTGGAGGACCAGTTCCCTGATATAATCCCCAGGGGCAGGGTGCCCGGCTATACCCCCAGACGCTGGGTACCCATTTTAGTCGCCTTTTACGACATGTATGAGCTACATTGGGACTATTCTTTCACACCCGGTCACCACACGGGTATATTAGTAGATTGATTTGTGCTTATTCACTGTGAATAATGTGAAGAGCAAATATTACTTGAGCTGAACATGTAGTACTATCCAGAAAGAGTCCATACAATTATTGCATAAATAGAAATATTAGAGTTAGATTGTGCAGAAAGAAGACATTATGGAATTTGTCTTTTTTCTACACTACTACACTATGCCATGTAATATGTTCTTTCTACACTACTACACTATGACACTATGCCATGTAATTGCAGGATACAAAATCTTAAATAATGATGAACATTTTAAGAAACACAATTGAAATACAAAATAGAAACTTTGGGAACTTGGAACTTGAGAAGTAACTGAGTATAAAGAAAATTTTAAATAATATAAAATCTTCAGTAATACCAAAAACTTGGTTAAATAACTAAATAAGCAAAGAATAATATCTACAAGTCCAGAATAAATTATGATATTTAGCATTTAAATGTATAATAAATATGCTTCTTAAATCTCAGCTGCTCAGCAACGATGACACGTAGATATTTAGCAAAGGCGCTTGTAAATACAATATAGAAATTTCAGGACCTTGAGAAGTAACTTAGTATAAAGCAAATTAAAAATTATATAAAATCTTGAGTAATATTAAAAACTTGGTTAAATAAGCAAAGAATAATATATACAAGTCCAAAATAAATTTTGGCATAAAGCAATTTAAATGTATAACAAACATGCTTCTTAAATCTCAGCTGCTCACCAAAGATGACACGTAGATATTTAGCAAAGATGCAGTTTGAGAGAACTTTAAAAATTACTTTTAAAGACAGCATCAATGTTACTTTGCAAGTGTCTGAAGTTTTCTTTTTTTTTTCTTTATTGGACTTAATATCGTCATTTTTCCTATTGCAAAGATTCTTGAGCATGATATTTGTTGATATCCAAATTATCAGTTTGCTTATACTTTCACTTGTATGACCATTATCACAAATAATATCATCAAAGAGCATTTCTTTTAATTCTAAAATTTTAAAAGTCAAATTTGCAACAATTTTCCTCTGATTTTGTTCCAACAAAAAATCTTCATATTCTTCACTACACAGCTTATTTACAATTAAATAATTATACATAATTATATTTACAATAAATGGTTTTGGCCACCTGAGTCCACCACGATCAAGATTCTTTATAAGATCATACGTTTGATCATGATTAACTGTGGAATTTATTGTAATGTTTTGTTTGCAGGTACAGCATTTCACTTTCTTTAAAACTGCATGACAACAGTAACCACCCAAATAAGTCAGAACTGGCAGATGGCTACTAATGCCCTTCACATCACTCTCCGTAATATTTAATGATGGGTAATATACTGTATTATCTAATTCTATAATATCATGAAGATTATCATCATATTCAAATGATGTTAAAGGGACAGTAGTATTTTTAATAATCAATTCTAACTTAATACTTGATTGTATTCTTAATTTTTTTTTCACATTCTAATAACTGTCTCATTGAAATATGATACTGAGAACCAGAAAGTTGTCTGTATTTACCAAACCGGGCTTCAAGAGCATCAGTCTGAATTTTTCCTGGAAGTATATATTTCATTCCAAGCTCTTCAACACAATATCTAGTCAACTCCAGTATACCATAAGTAGTTTGTTTGAGAGCTGCATGAGTTTCTTTTGTAAGCATGCCTGTTGAACATTTCATTGATTCCCATGCATCTAACCAGTTAAGAAACTGATTGAGGAAAATAACTTTTGGATCAGAATCATCTGCTGTTAATGGCTTCATAAATTCACTCTTTTGATGTATACCTTTAAACATAGTTTTAACATTCATAATATCCCACCATTTGCATATTATGGATATAAACTCAGATGTATCTGAATAGTGTGGTATTTCATGCAAAGGACCCAAATGAATCAGACCTTCAATAGTAAATTTATTGAAAATTGAAAATCTTAAGAACCAGTTTAATGTTTTGTTTCTCTAAATTAGAAGGTGAAAGACTTTTTAGAGTTAAACCATTAGAAAATGTAATCAGTTGGTCATTTTCAATTTCATGTAGCTTTCTCAAAGACATAAACGAAGCAGTTTTGAAGTGCTTCTTTGAAAGATCTTCAATATTTGGAAAAAACAAACATACATGTACCAGGATTTTTCTGGTTCAGCCAATTGTTCCTTATATTTTTAAATAAATGAACTGCATCTATTATATAGAAAAGAGGTCTATTCCCATTCATTGGATGTTTGTAAACAAATGAATTACGTGGTGGATTTGAAAACAAACTCATGGCTTTTCTATTTATTGCATTGTTGTCTGTAATAACACAAATAACAATAATTCCCATATTTTCAAGACCTCTAATCACTTTTTTAATTACATAATGTAATGTTTCAAAATTTATTGTGTTAACAGGCATAATATGTACTACCTCTTTGAATGAAGATTCCAAACTGGATATCATAAAAGCAAATGCACTGGTTGCCGGACTGGAAGAATCAAATGCAGCCCCAACGACAGAGCCTCCTTTGTAATCAAAATATGGCTGAACATAAATTTCATCTACCAAAAGAATCACTTTTCTTTCTCGATCCTCAAGGAAAGTTACACGATTTTTTATATATTTTAAAAAATTTTCATCAATAGTTTCATTACATGGTGACAATACTAAATTGCTACAAATTTTTTTTAAAGTCGAAGGATGAGGCATAATAATACTGCCACTATCCCTTAAAAATTTATATGCATGTGGTGATATAGTATTTAACAAGCATGCTAACACTAGTACATCAGGATTGTATCTAAAATTATTTTTAGGGCAAAGTAAAAGATTCATCTGGTCTTGCAAAAATTTAATAATGCTCTCATTTTTGTCGTTAGAGATAGTTTGCAGTAATTCATTAATTATATCAATTGTTATGGTTAATTTTGAATTTAACTCTTTGGTTTGAAGATTAGCCAATTTATCTAAAACAGTCCTAATTTCATTAAAATTTGTAACTTTATGTGGGAATGTGTAAGGAGATAATTGCATAATAGATTTTTCTTTAATAAATACAGACATTTCTTGATTGTCATTCACAACTACAGAATAATCAATTGATGGCCCAGGACTAAAAACAATATGAATAAAGCAAACAGTTGAGGTATCTGGAACTGTGTATACATGCCAAAATGCTGATATTCCATAGCGATCAATACATGACAAAATATCATTAGAACAATTAATTTTCAAATCATTATTATACATTTCATATTCTTTAAGGCTTTCACGCAATGCTTTCTGTAAATTATGGCACTCGCGGGCAGTTTTTTTTGCATCAGGGTACTTGTTTTGAACTGTATACAGATGGATAGTCCTTAAATATTGATGGCACTGTATTTTCTTTTAATCTACGCACCTGAAGTGGAGCAGAAATTAAAATTCCATTCTTAGAATCAAATGCTGAAGCTTCAACTTTAAAATCACTTTCCTTGAAATGCAATTCACAAACCTTTAGAGAAAATTAAAAAAAAAAAAAAAAAAAAAAAAACATTATGTTAATAGTAATAGTTTAAAAATCAGAGGGTTCATTCTGAGCATTTGTAGTAAAGAATATTCATTTCACAGATAGAACCAGAGAATATTTGCAGTGATTAAAGCTCTATTTCAATCCTTTATTTCTGTATATCCTGGTTTATGTAACAAAATATTATCATTTAAAAATTTCTGAATGAACCCTTATATGTAATTAGAATCTACACTATTAATTAATAACTCTACTTTACTTACCTTTGAACTCTTTTTGGGTGAAAAGTCTTTCCGTTGGATTGCAGAAAGCCACTCTCTCTTCAAATCTTCATTTTTAGGAAAGGAGAATACAGACACTTTTGGTCCTGTTGGGTAGTTTCCCTTACATAATGGTACACAGCATCTACCCGGCATTTTAATAACTGAAATGTTTTTATTTAAATTAAATATATAAAAGGGAGTAAATAGTTATGTATAAAATATAAATTAATTATTTTTAAATATAAAAGGGAGTAAATAGTTATAGTGTATAGCTAATGGCATGTAAAATTTTAAGAATAAGCTGTGTTAGCTTATATTATAACATCAAATTTATACAGGTCCATAAAAAAAATGTTTTATTCTGAAACAGATCAGGTAATATAATTATGCAAAGCCCGTTTATTCTACGATGGGCTGACACAACATTATTCAAAAAGAAATTATACATAGCACAGCAGCCTTGTCTCTACCAGAAATAACACATGTATACTAGAACATACGCCTAAAAACGTTGATATAATTAGAAAAATATAACTTTACAGAAGTAAAGTAATGTATTCTTACCTCTCTAAAATACATCCAACCTTAAAACCATAAAAAAATCAAAGTATTCTGCTTCAGCGTTCGCACAACGTAAGAAGCTTCAGCAATCAGCAAAGAGCCACTGCATGCGTTCCGAAGTTTATTATGACCAGAAGTCGTGACGTCACACGAATTTTCGAACCGCGCGCTTAGGCTTGAAGTAGAGTCGGTGTTGGTAAATTTCTGATGAAACCCTTCTCTGTAATTAGAACTTACGATTGTGTGCTTCCGTAATCGTTCAAACCATGTTGAATGGCAATCCTTTCCGAAGCAGCAACAAAGTCCAATCACTGGATAGAATCCGGGCTGTAATTTGTTGAGTAGCAGTGTGTGGGCACCATGGCAATCGTGTCGGGTTGAATGTGGCTACTCCGATATGTTGCCATACAGGCTGACGCTATGGTCACGTATCTGGAAAGAAAAAATAATAATTAGAACGATTTAATGAACAATTAAACATGATTTATTTAATGAGTACATGATTAAAAGCGAATTAGAAAATTATTGGAATGTGTAATACTTAATAAATTGTAAATGGCAACATTTAACATTATACATTCTATGATTATAAATAAATGGTTTCTAAAAACTAAAAGTGCACCTTCATTATTATATAAAATGGATCCACGTTCGCAACATCCAAAAATTGAGCTCGAAACTCCAGACAGCAGCTACGAGGGATATCCACGTGTGATCTAACAAGAAAAGAAAATTTTAAATATACGAAACATAAAACACAAGAAAGAAAAAACAAGAAGAAAAATGTACCTCCAATAGGCCAGCATGTCTTCTTGGAAGTTGAACACGTCGGCCTCGTGTTCTTCGTGTCAGGACCGGAAAGGCAATTCGCCCCGATGTGCTCATAGTATCCGGACTGTAATAATGGGCCTCAGGCAGCGCTCCAACATAATTTTGGTTGTCCCGCGATTTGAAGAGATGAGGAGGAATATCCCTTCTTCAACTCGTTGAGACCGAACACCATGGAAGCTTGGCCAACGCCATCGGCAAAATGTTTAACGAGTCTATGACTCTAATGTTCAGACTAGGGTGTCGTAAACACATCATAGACCTTCGAACCTGTAAGTAAAGAAATAGTAATCACTATTGAAAATTAGTGGTCTTTTATAAATCATGCAGACTATGGTTTTAGTAGTGTGAAACGGGGCGTTCACCGCCAGGATCTCAAACTCGCAGGCGGATTGCGGATGAGCGCCTGGCGGAGCGCGGAGCAAGGCCGCACGCGGAGACACAGCAGATAAGAAGGAATGTTTCAGAATTCTACATATAACTGATAAAATGACGTAACACTTTGATAAGAGATGATCTTTTGTTGATTTTCGAAATTTTTTGTTAATGAATTTTTAGCCTTTGTAATTTTTCTTCGTATTCCAGCTATTTTACGACGTATATGATGATTATTTCCTAGGGTACCCTTAACTTATTTTCGAATTTCATGATTGATTCAGATATAAATTTTTTAAGATAGAATTTTTTCATGTAAATATATTCAATATAAATTTTTTAAGATAAAATATAATTAATTAATTAAGTAAATATATTCAGATAGAAATTTTTTAAGACAGTTTTTACATAGAATTTTTTCATCTTTTCAACCAGTACTTTTAACTCATTTGTTAAATTTTATGAGCTTAATTATTCAGATCTGCGTTTCTATTATTGTATTACTTAATTTTAGATGTAAAATTTAGCTTATTTTATACATTTTAGCCGTCATAATATTTAATGCACTCTAATTTTTAACTAATTTATTATATTTTTACACTATATATAAGACTTTTATTTGATTTCTTTCATATATTTTAACCTTCGTAATTTCCAATATAGTCTTAATTTTAACACAATTCCTATATTTTCGGATCATATACCTGACTTTTATTTAATTTTAGATGTAAATTTTAACTTTTTTTCTACTTTTTAACTTTTTTAGTTTCCAACATACTCTGAATGGTAAGTAATTTGCTATATTTTCACACTATGTTCATCACTTTGGAATTCTAAGTTAATGTTGGAAGTGAAGAACCTAAGAACTGATAAGCGAATAATCGCTTGCGTTCGGTGACAAGAAACAACAAGATAGAAGGGTAACTAACCCTTTATTATTTCAATAAGATTTAACAAAACTCCGCCTGGGAGTGTACAAACAAAGCCCGCACTCGGACTTGAACTTAAAAGACTAAGAATTAAACTAAAACTAAGATTAACTAAAGAAGTATAGCCGAAGCTATCACGGTTCAAATCGAGTTAGCCCTTAACTTATTTGACTACGAAGCTTCGCAAGGGCCTGAGTACGGCCGAGCATAATAACAGCTTTGAGAGAGAGAGAGAGAGTGGCCAAAAAGGCAGACGCGCGTAAATCAGAAACTCACATTCTCTCTGACTCAGTAAGTAACTTCGTGGCTTAAATCCGCTCCTCCTCATTAAATATTCAGCAAGATTCTAAAACTACGTTCTGGCCGGAAGTAGTAAGTTGAAGTTAAGAATTTGACAGGGAAAGAACTTTAACTTAAAATTTAACTGTTAATAAAATTAACATAATCTTTACAACTTTCATTTAGTTTTTAACTAATTTTCGTACGTTTCTAACTAATTTCATATGTTTTAACATTCATAATTTCAAACATGTTCTTAATTTTAGCTTAATTCCTCTATTTTCTGTCCATATACTATATGATCTTTATGTAATTTTACATGTTATTTTGAACTTGTTTCGTACTTTCATATCAGATACCTAACTTTTACTTAATTTTAGATGTAAACTTTAACTTCTTTATTTTTTAACATTTTTAGTTTCCGAAATACTCTGAATTTAACTAATTTGCTATATTTTCACACTATGTACATGACTTTCATTTAATTTTTGACTACTTTCATATCTTTTACCCTTCTTAATTTCAAACAGACTCTTAGGCTTAGCTTAATTCCTCGATTTTCTTACCATATACATGGGCTTTATTTAATTTTTAGATGCTATTTTTAACTTGTTTCGTTTATTTCAAACCTTCATGATTTTTAAAGTTTACTCTAATTTTGAACTTGTTTATTACATTTTCCTATCATATACATGAACTTTAATTAATTTTAGATGTAATTTTAATACTTTTCTGACACTTTTTTTTTCTTTCCAGTTTCCAACATACTCTAAATTTTAACTCTTTTTATAATTTTCGATTGTAATCACGCATTTAATTTCGTTATTTCAGCTAAATTTACGTATTTAAATTTCTTAAACTTAGAGATAGTTTACAATTAAAAGAATTTTATTTTACAACCGATAACTGTTATTACCGATATCGGTTAACTGTTTATAACGGATATGTGTCTATATTTTATACTACTATTCTAATTTGCCAATTCTACGATTTATCAGTCTGCAATATTCTTACCATGACTAATTCTACTAATATACGTCATTACTAAACTCAATTTAATTTTCCAACTTTAATTTTTCTTGCATATTCTGGTATTACATTAAATTGTTTACATCATTCATATCTGAACGCATGCTTTTAAGCTCTTCAGTGTTACCAATGTTCGGTTTTGAATCTCGATTCTCATTAACTTAGATTGATAGATTCCGAATTTTTACAATGAAATTTCAACTTTCATTCATAATTTTAGAGCCATATTCGCTGTTTCGTACAATCATACAGAAATTTTTCTTATTATTTTTAACGCTTGATACCTTTTAATTCGGTGATTTTTTTTATTTTTTATTTTTTTATTTTTGCTAATTGATTACACCTTAAATCACTTTAAATATCCCGACTATGAAAATTTTCACTTTATTACGTTTCTCCTCCTAAACTAAGTACAGATATTTCTGTTTTCATGGACAATTTTCATATGAAATTAACAATTATTTAGATTACATGTACAAAAGGAAATCCTAAGATAAACATTTCCAGTATCAATTCAGAGGTGTTATACACTCATGTCCATAAATTAAGGATAATTCGGAATCACGCGGAAATCGAACTCTAAAATAAATATATCACCTGTAAAATCAGTAAACACATACTTCTGAATCAGTACACACATCTTCAAGAATCATATGCAAATTTCAGGAAGTAACCAGATGACACCGATGGTACAGTCTGTCAAAAAAGTATTTGAACACCGGTACCCATCTTGAAAACGCAAAAATCACTAAAAGCTGTTTAACTTACCAAGTGAGTGTAATTTGCTTCTTATTCGTTAATGTTTCAATATTTAAAAACTTTTTAAAAGTTAAACAAAAAGACAAAATAACAACACAAAATTTCCGTAAAAAAACAGTTTTATTGAGTTCCAATAAATAAGAAGATATACATACATTTTTTTTCATTAAATATGATTCTCAATGACGAAAGTCTAAAATCAATGAATTATATTAAATATATAACACAATGCTAAACTAAAGATGAGGAAAATGACATAAATTCTTCCCACATTTTTTCTTCTTCAGGATTTGTTTCCGTAAAAGAAGGTACTGTACAACGGTCTGTGATAACTGTGATGACGAGTTATAGAATAATGTCCATCATCAAAAAGTCCCAGTCATCAGACAATGAATTTGTTTGAACATCACTTGTTGTATTGTCGTTTACCTCTCCATGTAATAAGGCCTCCTGGGTTTCTGTAATTAATGAAGGTTGCGAAAAAGAAGCTCCTTGTACAACGGTATACTCTAATTGAGATGACGAGTTGTACGATTTAATGTCCATATTATAATCGCTTAGAGAACCCGTCAAAAAGTTCCAATCTTCCACAGGTTTCATTGAAATTAATGCTGAGTCCCCCGATGTAACAGTTTGAGACTGAACGTCATTATAACTAGTTATGGAATTGTCGCTTACCCCTGCTTGTAATGAGGTGCATTGGGTTTGTTTTAAACATAAAGTCTGCTGAAAAGAAGATTCTTGTACCTGTACTAGTTGTGGTGATGAGTAGTTGAACGCTTCAACGTTTGTATTACTATAATCATTTAAAGAACTCATAATAAAGTTCCAGTCATTAGTCGTTTCGGTTGAAACTAATGCAGAGTCACTTGGTGTAATATTTTCAGTCTGAACACTACTAAAACTTGTGGTAGGATTAATACTTACCTCTACTTGCAATGAGGTATCTTGGTTTTGGATTTCAGAGTCCGTATAATTAGACGGGGTACCTTTTCCCCATGTTTGTTCGTCTAAATTAAGTATTATGGTACTGTTAATGGGTGCTATAAAATTTTCCGGTACCAAAATAGTAGTTGATGTTTCAGTACAGGCTGGTTTCTTGACAACAGCAGGAGGGGGTGGAAGTGGCTGTTTAAATACTTTCTTCTACCATCTTTCTCCTTCTTCCGCCCTCTTGTTGCTCCCGTTTCCTCATCTGATAAATACTGGTAAATTCGGATTCTGCCTTATCAAATAATTTTGCAATTTTCGCTTTTGATTCCGCTTTCTCACTTTTCCCTCTTTTTGGGGATCGAGGTTGACGTCCACTTTGCCACTTCGTCTAAATAGGGAGTCGCAGGTGGTTTTTCTCATAGGGGTCGATAGGTTGATCCTTTGAGAGTTCAAATTTCGTATAACTCGTGGGTTTTTGAATTTTATGTTCAGCTTCTTTTTATCTGTACTGCTAAAGCAGCAGCACACCCTGTCCACCGCGAACAATGTTTTCTGCGTAGTCAAAATCGTATATGCCCTATCTGATGGGATAAGGTACAGCCTATTCGGTTGAAAAAATGTACCTTTTAAATTTAAGTTCGTCTACAGGTCTAAACATTCTCTCTAACATAGAGGAATTGTTGGGAGAAGGGCAAAGTTCATAATATACC